TCATGGTTCATTATAATGTGTCGTTGTCGTCAAACTCATGCAAACTACAAAGTTTGATTCAAATAATACACGAGTCTACTGAAGTATCAGAATACTTGTGCTTAGTACTCGAATACCTACCCGACTCTTTTGACTCGGATACTGACACGATCTTTTTTTAATGAGTACCAAAGTACTCGAATACTTATAATATAGCCGACTCGGCACATCACTAGTCTACCCAAACAGTCGAAAGAAATATTTTTACATCGCTACACTGAATGTTCTTAATGAAAAATGTTTAAAAAATCCCCTTTATCCCTGGCAAAATTGATCAAATATAATAATTAAAAATAAAATTATTTTAATATTTTTTAACAGCAAATTTCTTTCGGCAAGTCTACTTACGACAATGCCGACATTATGTTAGAAAAGTATAATCTGTAGAATATTAAAAAGTAAAATAATATATTTGTAATATTCGTATACAGATTTAAAATATTTTCGCCTCGTGATCGCATTTGACAACTCAACATTGTCAGATTTCCAATTTTAAATATTTCATTAGATGAATATTATGTAGGACAAACAAACTACATTTATGTTGTAAATAACGTGCTATATTTATTTTACAAAATAATTACAAAAAAAAAACTTGACACACATATGTAAATGTAGACTGTACATGCATGCATTTTGGATTATATGGTGAACTTCACTAATAACAGAAATAAATGTAATTTACAATAATGTAATTTCTATAGTATATAATAACTTTACTTAAAAGTAATATTCAACATTATAATATAAAACACAAAATAGTTACCAAAGTAAACGATAAAACAGTTTCATTTCTTTCATTATGGCATTTCATGTTTAAACATAATACTGAACTTGCTAATACAACAAAAAAATATGTACGATGATCATTCACTAATAAGGAAGTTTGATTCTAATAGAAATAAATATTCACTACTGTATTTATTTATTCAAAATAATATTAGATTCGAACCAGGCTGCACTACATTTAAGCCTAGTACAATTTATCATAATTATGATATAAGATGATTTAATATTTAAACAATTCATTAATTTACACGTCAATTATATTGAATAATTAATTTAGGCAGTCTTTAATATACTTCAATTAATAATAATTATATCAAACTGTTACATAACTCTCATTACAAAGTACAACATATAAAGTACACTAAATAAATAATTAATAGCAGACAACAAAATGGTAACATACCCTACAACTTAGCTATTAATTCAAAATATTTATACAATATCAGCACGTAATTCCAAGCTCTGTAAAACATTCTAAATATTGGTCTAGTTTCTTTATTGCATGGAACATTTTACGTCCCTTTTTGAACAACACACAAACTACCAGATCGTTGGCTATTACATAATATGATTATTCGTAAACCAGTGTTACAGTATAGTTTCATGATCGCTTGTAATCGCCACTTCAAAGTTAGTTTCACAAACATTACACTTTGATATACAATTAACTTTTACTTGTTAAAGTACTTTCGTACTGGTTACGTCAAAACCGATGCATTTACCTATCCGTATCTCATTAGTTTCGTTGTAATACTAATGGTTATTTCGATGTCACTTCATTACGGACGAGCCACACTTACGAGCGCCCATCAACATTTCTCTGTAGGTAAAAACGTTTTCAAATTGGTGTAGTAATCCGCTAAGAAGGTTGCTACTCTAGTACTTTACAATAGATTCATATTTAGAGAGAGAGACGTTGTAATTCGAATGAATGAAAGAATGCGACAGTAGTGGAAATGTTGAAAAGCGCTTTTAAATATGGATCAATTCTTAATGGACGAATGTACACACATTATTTTTTGTGAAACTCTCTTGAACCTCCTCGGAGTGAAGAGTACAAATCAGCAATAAAATAAGGCAACACTATCGGGACGCATCAGGTGTACAAAAATTTTCTATTTATTAGATACCTATATAACGTATGACAACCGATTTGCACTTGTCGCCCAATTATAGTGGAAAGTTATGAATATTTTTTTCTGAAACTGAAAGAGAAGGATGACATTCGAACGATTATCGCGTGTCCTTTATTGTGCTACCCTTTCAGAAAAATAAACAAAAAAAAAGATTGTATCCATAATCTTCCACATTTTAACTCCACTTAGTATAATATTACAACAACATGCGACGAATGAAGCTTAACAATATACATTTGATTTATTTTTCAAACGTGCAATACCGACCTTAACGATCAGATTATAATATACTGGGGTTTAATTATGCTTACAGCTAAAATTCACCTAGTACAATTGCCTACGCGTACGCATAGAGGACGTCAAAAGACTGAACAGTCCAGATTACACGGATGTTGTCCAAAATTAATTTATTGTATACTGCTTAATAAATTTATGTACTATACGTTTAATAGAAACTGATGGAAACTTTTTTTTATAAACTCTGAACAAACTCCGTGTAAACTGAGCACAAGCGGCACGCTACTTGAATATCACAATTGTGCAGCGACTCTACCAACAATAAAAAATTTATTGCTATTTCATTAAATTCAAGACCCATATGTCTTGAGGCGAAAATAAATGCTGATTACACTATGTACTCCTTTATACAAAATGTAATTACTGTAAACGCGTATAAGTTATTTCTCATCAAATCAATTAATAAACGTCAACATGTACCAAACTTTACTAACTACCTACGGCTTCTTTACCTATATACTGTTCCTAAAGTTTATTAATTATTACACGATTCGTGACTATTAATGAATATATAAGAATATATTTTAAAAGTTTATACTCGTAAATCTTTTGATTCCATATAGGTGAGTAACCTGTAGGAAAAATATAATTCCAGAATATCAAAAATAATAATATGCACGAATTTATTTTTTATTTAAAGATACCACATAAAAATATCGCAATAACTTGATTACAATTGCGCTGTCGTAAAATTTAATAAATGGTAATTTAACTCCATGTCTTCTTGTTTAAAAATTAATAGTAGAAGTGAGCTCTCGATGACGGTGGTACTTAAAAATTTGTACACAAGTTATACAATACATGGACCTATAAAGGTATCAAATAACTCGTATATGCTATGACGTGCTTCAGCTAAATGCTATATATCTCACTTGCGTGCAACTTTGTATCACGAGAGCGTTATCCAATGAATTCGAAAGGATGTTTCCAATAGTAGTAATAATAATTGTACTATATCGCATAAAGCACTATCATTATCAATCTAGAAATGGGACATATCTCTAATTCAAACATTTGGCACACACTTTAATGATATGTATTTTTTGGTTGCACATAGTGCCGCGTATAAAAATATATTATAAAACTATTCTCTTTTATAAATGTGTGTCGTTAAAATATAAAACGAACCACGGGAAATGTGCAAATAAAAATTTATGGAAGCCCCGTTAATGAACGCAAATCGAAAACAACCTTCGAATCTGCAATACTGCTGTTATTGTAGAGACTGTCCCATTTCATATAATAAACATTCACTAATATCAAGCCAATGCCGAAACTCGGTTGTATAGCAAAAACGTGTAACCGACGTTAAAAACGAGAACAGTGGAGTTACCATCAACACTCATAACAATGCTCAATCCGTGCTGCAAGCCGGATAACGCTATATGGAACATAAGCGGTGTCCCGCTCGCTACATAGATTAAGCATTGTTATAAAAACTCATGGTTGGCCCCCAGTTATGCTAATCTGTAATAAAATCAGTCTGAAACTCGACCTCGAGTACAGCAGTCATAGCATAGAGGTTCAATTAAACAAAACCTTCATTATCTATTGAAGTAGGTTTTCAGCGCTTTGCTCGACGTAGAGTTCGGCGTTGATTTTATTGCAGAATAACACTGCAGTAGAATTGTCTAACGACATACTAATTTTACTATATTCAAACAGTAGTATGACTACCAAACTTCAATCTCAAAGTTCCTCTAATTCGATGTATTGAAATGTGTTAACTCTCGAAGCTGGTACATATGTATACATACTGACACCAATGGCAAACACGACAACAATTTTCAAGTCGATTATATTACTTAAACACAAATGCGTTGCTCGTTTATTTAGTACACTATTCAAGTCACATGCTGATATGTAATAGACGACAGTAACTCGATTCAAATACTGATACAGATATTTTTTTTGTTTCACATGTAAAGCGTTGAACTGTAAGCGATTAAATGCACAACATATCGTGTCTACTGTACTGTCCACGCCGCACATTCGCTCTCAGACCGATCACAGATGAAATCGCACGATTACGAATAAATACACTAAAATTAATTAGGCCTTTTTAGGACAGATAATCACATTTCATTTAACTTACACAATTCCTTTTAGCATTTTCCATTGAGCGGATTGCAACTTTGTCCATTGGATTTTTTTATTTATTAATATTCTTTGGGATCAATTCTGTGAACAAAGAAGTTTCGATTAGAATACCATCTATACTAAAATTATAAACTGGAAAGATTTCAGTGTTTGTTTGCATTGAACGGGTTCCGAAAAAACTGGACGGATTTTTTAAATTCGTTCACCTACGGGAAGCTACATTAATGCGCGGGTATATTTTAGGCAGACGAAGTCGCTAGAACAGCTAATGTAGAATAATTGACCAGTAAATTAAATTTGTTGTTGTCGTTGTTGTGAAAACTCAATAAATCAAAATTCATCAAAACTGTATTGACCACAAAATAAAATAAAGCTGTGACACTGCAACTTATATTTTTTATCCAACGCCAATAATAGATACTTGAATGTTTTAGGAGAAATGTTTTAAATTGTTTATTACATTAAATCACTATCAGATTTCTTTTTTTCAAAAAAATTATTATTAAACAAACAAAAAAAAATTGTTTTTATTCATTAATTTGAAATGCCCACGAAAATAATCAGTCACGTGACTCACGTAGTTCTCTGTTAGACTGGATATCTATAATATATAAATATTAATATAAAGTTCATAGTTACATTTCACAGGCGTCGACTAGGCGGCGGTTTGAGCTGGCGCGGGCGCGGGAGCCGTAGCGGGGGCAGGGGCGGGGGCGGGGGCGGGAGCGTTCCGCGTTCTGCCCCCGCGTGGTTTTATAGTCTCCGATACCTGCCACATCGCCTCCTCGCTCAGCACATCATCGAACTCGTTGAACATGGCCTGGATACGCTCGTTCTTTTTGAACTTGTACTGCCTGCTGGCGGAATTGAAACGTGTGTTCGTATACAAAAACGAATACTTAATGGATGTTATAGTAAGTGCCCGCTCGGTACTATATTATAGAGTAAGCAAAACAAATCTTGATACGTAAGATACGTTATCTTAGTATGGATATGCCAAAAATCTTGAGATTTATATATAAACATTTGCCATATTTATAAAAAGTAAAAGGTTTAATAATAATTTTCTCTAAAGTAAACAGACAACTACTAAATTTCAGTAAATAATAAACAACGCACTCTTTGTGGAAGCGCTTCATATTCTCCATAATGTGGTACTGTTGCCACCGCTTGGTAAAGTTGATGCTGCCATCTTGCAATAGGTCTGGGTTGCCAATATGTACAAACGTCAGATCTTGGAGGACTAGACCACTGGAAAGAAAATACCCGATTTACCATATAATTTGATACCGAAAAAATGTAAGAAGTTTTAATCACACAGTCCAAAACATTACAGTGCTAGGAGATGTGCAAGATACTCGTATACACTTATACAGGGTTATTTGAAGAACACCAGCAATCTCTCAGAACTAGATTGGTCATAAACAAAAATGTTTGATTTAAAAGTTTTAACATGTCAACTCAATGTTTTGAACAGAAATTATTAAGTTCCTATATAATACTCAAGTTAGCTAAGTTTTCCATTCAAACGTACATAGATGAATGACGACAAATCTATGACAGCGGTATTGAACACAGCAGTACATTAGGTTACCACTACAATGTGTAATTGCAATTGATTTTCAACTCAACAAATTTATATTACCAGGGCGTATTGACTACACATACAGTATAGGGATAATGACTGGGTAAAAAAAAAAAATATATTTAGTAAGTCAGATAATAGAAAAATATTAGATACGTATTTTTTTACTTCAGAATTAATGGGAAAATTATTAACTCAAAAGATTACGCAAAAAGTAAAAAAATCGTGTTTAATATTTTTCAACAATCTACATGATGGACAAAGAAAAAAAATTATTGGTCATCCCTATTGAAGTATCAAGGATGGTATCATTGAAAAATAGGCAACAAAAGCTATTACTAATTTGACAAACATTTGAAAATGTCACTCCATATGCTCTGTCAGAATACCTGCGTTGTTACTGTGATGGACTAAATTCTTCACAGTAGCGGCATTAGACAGACAAGACTTCATTCACAGTGATTTCATATTGTACTTGTTTCATTATTATTATATTTTAATGTGTGTGAATGTCAATAAATAAATATCTATTTCTAATTTACATGGGGTGTACTCACATGTATGGTATGCAGGGTGGCTGAGTTTCCGCGAGAGCCTGCCTGTATGCTCGGAAGGATGACGACGAGTCTATGATGGCGCAGTGATCGTGTAACGCATCCACTATAGCCCGCGGCCATCCCAACCGACGTACAGGCGGCGAGTCCAGCGCTGATACCAACGCTAGGTACGAGTTGAAGTTGTTCATCTTCCGGAGGGCCTTCATTACTTTTAAAAATTTACTCGCGTACTTTTCACGCTCTCTGGCCTCGTCCTGTGAAATACCACATAAAAATATATATTCAGACCACAACAGAGTATTTATATGCATGGAATCCCATTACACGAATTAAAATTGTTATTAATTATACAGGGTTATGAATAAAACACCAATAACCTTGCAAGGCTATATAGCTAGCATAAGAAATAACATTTGAACTACTACTTTCAACATTACTCAATAGTCTAAACAAAATTAATCTTCAATCATTCAGCAAAATTAATGCTTGACATTCTATGGTCAAATGATCTTTTAATTTTGTACAAAAGTAATATCTAATACAACATTGTTCTTTATGATCTCCGGCAAAAGTTGTTTGTTTTTAACGTCGAACCCTTTTCTTCAAGTATTATAAATAAGCTCCAATAGACCTACCACATAACTTGACTGACATTGAAATACATTTTTTAAATCCTACTATGCTAATAAATAAATAACTGACCTGCTCGAGTATCCGTGATCGGGCCCAATAGCTCATCTTATTGAAATGCTCCGTAAACCGGGTAAGATTAGGGGAACTCTCTTCGGATTGATCACGTGGCCAAGATAGTACCTCCGCAGTTGTTATGCGAACGAATAGAGCAGCATCCAACAACGTCATCTGTTCCGCCAACTCAGTCGCTTTGAAGTCTAGAAGCGTATCCCTCCTAAGCGACACTGAGCCGTAACAGGGGTTATCGTATTCATACCTGTTGTTAGCCTACAATAAAAATAGTGGATTATTATTTAGATCTGAAGTGCGAAAGTGTCTGTTTTAATATTATGAGAATGGATAAATGTTAATAACATAGTGATCAATTTGAAAATCTATGGATAGTGAGTAAAAGAATGAAAGAACTTCTAAGAATCTGTAAATTAAATTGAGATCTGCAGTCCTACCTAACTACATTGGTATCGAATTCAATACAATCTACTCAACATACATCCACTATTCAAATTATTCCACTATTTTAAATGTCTAGTAAATTTAATTCAACTCGATGTTTTGACAGTACTCACTGTATCTAACAATACAGTATTGACGATTGAATGCATTTTGATTGATTTCAATGCAACTAAAATGCAAAGTTAGTATAGTTACGTATACAAAAATCTACCAAACAATTATACTAAACAAGAGTCCAAAGTCATTGTGTACCTGTTGGAAGTGTAATTGTTTCTGTTTATCGACTAGTATCTGTCTTAAAGCTTTCGCTATTGGCAACTCTTCAACTTCAACAAGCCAATAGATGAACTCCATTATCTCTTGCATCAATGGACGATCCAAATCTGCCATTCTGTAAAATAAACATGGATATCGAATTGAGGAAGTAGGAAATAAAGCTCGTATTTTATTTATCCAAATAATCAAATATATAAAAACAAAATATCAAACAATTTAAGAATAATCAAAGGCTTTTTAAATTTGACTAATTTTGTAAATTACCAGTTTGGATTATTCTATCTCAAAAACATCCCAAACGCATTTGATTGATTGGAAAGTCAACGATCAGCCAGTAAAAATGTGCCTGCATCCCACATGTGAACCCTATCAACTAACAGCCGGTTTCTCAATTGAGAAAAGTACAAAATCTCAACTGCTTATTCTCAATAACTTAAGTTTTTTTACGTTATGCATGGCAAAAAGTCCAAAAAAAACAGAAACCAAAACCTGTTCAAGTGACGTTTGAAACGGATTAAGTATGGCTTGAGACGTGCTTAACTTTAAATTCACAATTCAGTAACAGGGTATAAGTAAATAAGCCATTATAAATATAAAACATCGAACTACTCACGTGAGATCCGCTACTACTCTGGTGAGTAATCCAAGTGTAGAGCGAAGATCATGCGGTCTCGGTCTAAAGTGATGAGCGCGCCGCACCAATCGCGCCACTAACCCGCTGGGCGATACCCACGTACGATACGTAGCCAGGAACGCCTCCTGGTACGTGAAGTCTGCACACAACAAATAACCATTGGTACACAGTCTAGAGGGACGATAAATAACCTCTATTTGAGTTTCCTTGCGCGTAAATTTGTGATATAATAATAAAATTTAATCTTTGGAATGATCTAATGCAAAAGCAATCGTTTTTGACAATCGGACCACTTATAATAAGGATGATGATTGGGTAAAAAAAAAAGAAATTCTATTTAGTCTGTCAGTTAGTCTGTCAGATAATAGAAAAAATATTTACGTTTTTTTTTTTCTTCAATTTAACAAGTAATGGTTTAGATAATGAACAATAAAGTTGGGCTCGCTACGTCACAGTTTTGTAGAAAATGTACAAAAGCGTGACATCATGCGACATTTCAACTCAATGTATCGCCGTAATTTATCGAATATGAAAAAAATATGTGTTTAATATTTTTCAATAAACTACATGACGGCAAACAAAAATTACTCTCAGAAAAAAATCCTTTGAGGCGACACATCCTGCAGTAACAAAAACTTAAAAAAGTGTTGCTCCATGGATGATTTCTAAGTTAAACGTATATGTGCTAGTAAATACTCTTTTTGATTTTTTCGTTGACTTTGTAAGTCCATGCCAACACTACAAAGTTCTTAGTATGTGGTTACGTTTATTCATACACATCAATACAAAAGAAACTCAAACATAAGTTATTTAACGAAAAAAGCGAAACCAAACATCTGTTTGAATATATACGGAAATTTATTTCAAACGTGAGATAGTGATTTAAACAATACATTAGTGTTATATATTAAAGCCGCAAAAGCTGCATTTTTTATGTGCAACGGTGGATCGAAAGCATATATCATGCCATCTATTATTGAACATATTTCAAACAAGAAAAAAGCGCGTGGTTATTATTTATAATATTTCCAACAAGCTGATTAATCTATCGCAACTATATAACTTTTGGTTAACGTCATGTGCGCCTTTACATTATTGTGATAAAATATAACCAACTCGAGCAATGTTGGCAAAAGCTTTAATGTAATAAAACAAAAACCAGCTCATTTTTCTCAGCCCCAACTCAAACAATGATTGAACAACTTACACTCGTCCGTTTCTGTAAAGTGAAAGCATTTGAAAGTTTATATGTTAGATGCTGTGCTATGAGCTTAATATTATAGTAGAAATTAAAGGTAATAAGTAGGTAGTACAATTATACAATGAAAAGGGGTAGTTCCACCTTGAAATAACAATGTGATTGGTTTTAGACAAATGAAACATAATGCCAAAGAGATGTAGGTTAATAAATGTATTTTTAGGATTTTTCAAGTACAATTGCTATTAATCAATAAAGCACGACTCTTGTCTTCATGCAAATAACTAAATCTTGGTCAATCGTTTTAATCAGTTTTTATTTATACAACATTCGAATACGTTTACTGAATGTTTCTAAAGATTTTCGTTACACTTATCACAAATTTTCTCTTAAAATATTAAACCTATTACATATATCCGAAAATTGACATGCGTTCGTTTCTTCATCACAAGCCCCTCTACTACTCATTCGAATTAACATGATACCTGCAGAGCGACCGCCTAACTTTTAGCCACAATTCTAGCCATAGGATACGACATCTTATCGATGTTATGGCGATATTTCTTTTTTTTCTACTTTGACATGACATATGTCAAGACGAACGAACGTTAAAGTATGATGATTATGGATTTGATAGCAATGCTAACAACTTAATCATATATCCCGAATTTTTCCAACAAAATATATGAAACGAAATATCTTCATAATATTCGCTAAGATGTCGTATCCTATGGCCTATAATCAAGGCAAAGGAGTTAGGCCGTCGCATCCCTAAAGGTCAATTATATTTCTCCGAGAACGATATTTCGTCTTTTTCCGAAATGCTAATAAGACTCGAAAGAAACACATTTTTCGATAATTTATGATGCAACGGAGAATGCCTCTGATGCACAGATAATCTTTACGGATATGACAAAAGTATAAGAACAATACGAAATTTTCTGAATTGTTGTTGGAGGACAAATAGAATAGGCTCTCAGGTGTCATGTAAATTCGTACGAGTTATACTTAATTTTACTTGACTAAATTCATATTATAATGAGAGAGTATAACCAAGATATTTACCTTTGGTTGCTTTGGTAGCGAGTACTATAAGTGCATCGGGATGTCCACCGCGCACTTCTGGTGGTTCAGTTCTTTGTTCAGATGTTTTGGTCGGCGCCTTCAATAGTAACCAAGCACTAATATCGGTCTGAAGTATGATATCGTCACTGTCCGCGCTCACTGAACCGCTTTTGGTATCTGTTACTGCCACCACCGGTTCCGTACTACTTTCGCTTCTCTGTAACAAACAAGGTGCTGTTTTATAAGGTATTTCATTTCACGAACTAGAACAAATTCGGGTTTATTCTCATTATGATTTGACAGAGTTCTTTGTTGGAAAATACTGCATATAATTCTGTACTGACGTGTAATTTGAGAAGATGAAAAGAAAAGAGAAAAGAGCGCGAAGCTCGATTTTATTAATATTTAGATGTACAAAAAGTTATACAAAAACACTCCCGCTTTACATTTTAATTTTGTTTTACTAAGACAATTTTAAAAACGTTTATTGTTATTAAATATGTAGTTCAAAGTTCAAAATATTTGTTGTAAAAAGTTTTAAAAACCGTTAAGAAGACACAAATAAAAAAAAATTGTCTCTTCCTCCATCACGTTCATTTTCTATAAACTTGTGGACATATATTGGCACATGGCGGTCATCAAAACTTATGCAAATTTAGCAATACATCTGTGATTCGGAAGAAGTGTAATTTTCTTAAAATTTAATTTACCTGCGATGGTACCGGTGATGGTGCCGACGGTATAACAAGCGTCTCCAACTCATCTTCCAGGGGAAATTTCCCTGGAGTTGTCGCGCCAACGTACGAGTCATCAGAGTTCTGCACCAAACAATAACAACATAAACTAAAGACACTGTAAAAGTTAAATTGAAAACAAAAAAAATACACATTTACATTTCTCATCGGCATCAAACAACTTCATCACAAGCAACTACCGATAAAATGGATGGACATGTGCAGTTATTTGAGATTATTTGTACGCGGAGCACGTAAATAATAGAACAAGCAAGGTCAGTCATTCATGTACAAATGGATTCCTAGCATCGTAACTTTCACTTAGTGACTTTCCTTGATATGCTTTTTGTACATATACCTTATTAACTTAGAATTATTTAGGTTTTCGTAATAAATAAACAAATAAAGTAAAATAACATTGAACAAATATGTTTCTTTTTAAAGTCGACATTTTTGTTATTTAAAGTTTTACTATGTGAAAATACATTTAAATTATAAATATAAAATATTTATAAAGCTGAAGAATTTCTCTGTTTACTTGTCAGTGTACGAATTGAAAAAATATGTTCGTGTTGAATTGCCTGGCTACTGACGAAGGCTTTAGGCTATATAATATTACGCGATGACTTATTCCTATTAGAGTGGAGTAGCAATGAAATATGTTACAAAAATGGGAAACCACATATGTGAAGCCACTGGCGGGAAGTGAGTAAAATATATGTAAATATAATATAAATGTTAATATATAACTTACCACATTATTTGTGAGTGATTCGTCGGCTGAATGTGAGCTATTATGCGATGAGGGTCGTGGCGACGGTGGAGGCAAAAGTTCGTTGCTCGAATTCATTTGAAGCTAAATAGAAAAATCAAATAACCATTACAATTTCAAAAAAATACTTATACTCAAATGTACAGCGGGGAAATGAGAAGGCTCGTCAAATTCAGTTTAACCATAAATTTATATTAGGTAATAATTACAGATAAATCATTCTTTGATTGAAGACGCTGCTATAGGACTATCATTACATCTGTTACTAATGGCATAATGATGAAAATAAATAAAATTTAAATTGGCAGTACAGGGCAAATCATTACATACTCTTTTTGGTTAAATTGATTATTGTACTGATTATTGGTACTGAAATTCGACTTTATGGTGACAAAGCTTTTCTTTTTCCCACTATACAAGAAAAAATGAATCATGTACCTGTTTATTTTTATTAATTTTAGGTGGTAACGCCGGGGGTTCTACCGGTAGAGGACTAGTTCCACTCCATCCCAGCATACTTTCATCAGAACCACTGTAAATAAATAATATGCGAGAGTAAGACAACATATATACTTATAAAGCATGTAACATACAATACATTATAATAGGTACCTTAATGGAGGAGTGCCAAAGTGCTGAACTGTAAACGACTGAGCAATGGATCGCTGCACTTGTTGATGTCTTTGGGCAGTGATAACGGTTGACGCTGCGTGTTGCCCGCTAAAGAAATAACATTTAAAAACACAAAAAATAATTATCTATTATTATATTAATATAGTTAGAAGAGAAGTTCACCTTTATCGTTAGTTTAAATATTTGTAAACATATTTCTTTCGGCTGTTTGGGTAGATAGTAGTAGCGAAAAAGTAACAAGTGCTTGAACAATTACATATCTTAACTATTACAATACGTAACAAGGAAATATACTCATTATAACAATACTAAGTATATAAAGGGGCAACATTAAATTGTTTGTTTATTTGTATTATAATTAATCGCTCCGAAAATACTGAACCGATTTTAATAATTCTTTCACCTACGGGAAGTGAAATCATACGCCGGTGACATAGGCTATAATTTACGCGGACAAGTCGCGAGAAAGCAGCCAGTTATAAATAAAAACACCAACCTGGTCAAATTATAAGTGTGTATAGAGTGACGGAACATATCAGTCGGCGCGGCTGCGCTATTTGGCGGATGACTGCAGTTGCCAAACATCTCCATATACGCCATTACTGTAGATATAAAAAATCTTATACGCATGAAGTAATAGTTACATCTACAGGAAAGCTTCCTACTGCACTAATATGTGAGTTTCAATATTTAAGTAATATGCAAAATATTCTTTCCAGTAGACTATTCCTGAATCATAGCAAACTATGAAGTATAATAACGTGTAGAATAACCATGGTAAAGAACAAGGGCATACTACTAAATGAAGCGCTAAGCACATTATCATCGTAAGTGATAATTAATTGCGCGAAAAAATCCTGTGTTATTAACTAACAATAAGCGGCGCTCCGGCGCAAGCTCTAAAAACAGGTATGTGTAATATTACTAAAAAAAAAACTCGTAATAGTCTCTGTAGGTCCGTGAGAAAAGCAATATTTTAATTCACTATTGGTATTATTTAAAGTCTTTTAATGAGCTTTTTCTATTAGAATTTTAAGCTATTAAATGATAAACAATCCAACTTCAAGCAATACCAAAAGCCGGAAAAAATCTAATGTGAACGTCAGTGACGGAAGCGGTGATTGTGGACGTTACAAGCGGACTCCAAACCGTCTCCACTTGGAGTGAAAGATTTTTCTATAGCTAAATGTGATGAGAGACACGCATATCCACCATACATATGTATGGGGAGTGAATTAGCGCTTCATGCATATATCCACTCACCACTGTATGCGACGCTTTGGAACACTGCGGCGCCGCACCGGCACAACAGACAAACATGCCGTTATAACCCAATACGATAATAGCATTACATACCAGATTCAACCCAACATTAACCCTTTTACATTCAAATAGAAAGGAAAAACCACCGTTGCCAGAAGTCCATATTTTTTATTTACATTCAGCTAGTTAACAAATTCTCATTTTTATTCATTTCTGATACATAATCTAGTCAACAGTACGCCAGGTTATAGGAAACTGTCAAATTTGTCCACTTGATTTTAAACCTTAATGCAATGTAGGTAGAGTTCAAAGTCAATTGTTGAAATATACCATATTGTGGGACCCTGACGTGTGTCAAATCAGTAATAAAACACTAAGTGTTATTCAAATCGTTTCTTATATTGCTCTTACGACATAAAAATCGTACTTTAGTTCCTCAAAAGACTACAAAAACTGGCATCGTTGGTAACAACCCACAATATATTTAACCCGATACACCGATGACCACAAGAATATGATTGTTAACAGTAGAAAATATTATTCATTGATGTGATGAATGAACGAAAATACATAAATTAAGAGACAGGTGACAACACAACGATGCATTGTTGACAATCACATACATACATAATAATATTCGTAGCTCAATGAAATATAGTGCAACCATTGAAAGATGTGATGATCACACAAATTTATTATTGACAAAGTAGATATATTAGCCGGAACACCATCTTATGTGTTCACTCTTAGTGCAACTTGCTCATAGAACTCATAATGATTAGCCATTAATGTAATGAAAAGAGAAAGTCTTTGTCATCCAAGATCCCTATGATATACCAAAGCAGTGAAAGAAATCCAAAAATTGAACCTAAATGTGTAGATCCTTCTAGACACTTAGGTTTAGCATATATATTTGTCAGTCACGTTTAATATGACATAATATTTTATATAGCTTATATATACATAATTGACCTTACTGCTACAGTTGCAAAGTAAACGTTTTACTTTTGAAAGGTTTATAATTTCAAGTTGCTTACGTATAATCTGATAAGTGTTCAAAGTGGAATAAAAAAAAAGGTTGTTCTCAATGTCAATGTAATTTATAGCAACTCAATACCGTAAAACCATAAATAGAAACAAATGAATATGCATTAAGTATATATTGTATTATGTACGTTTAAAAAATAGGTTATCGATTTTGATAACTTAAAATTATAATGGTAACCAGTTAAGAGCCAACGTTTGGTGATAATATTTTTGTACTATCTGCAGAACATATTTCCACATCTATTGACCTATAACTAAACATCAAGTGTGGTCTAAGATAACCTGTTTATATTAAGCCAGTAATAGCCAGAATATCTATAGATTAAACTATGTTGTGGTATGAAAAAGTTATGAAATGAAAATGACTGTATCTCAGATGGCGAACATAATTATACTAGACTATATGGGTGTGTAATTTATAAAACGACCTATATGCGGGTAGATAGCGTGACAAATTGCAGATGAGTAGGTGAAGTTACCATCTCAATATATACTCTAATATATTGGGCATTGTGCATCAATCCCTTTGTATTACTTGTTTGTTTTGAAACACAATGTAATCTAATATTTACGCCAGGTAATTTACTATGCATAATTTCCCGCATGATGTAGAGTAGAACAAACTTCAAGGTGTTTATCAAACATATGCAAGAGAAAAATGTCTGACTACACACCGAATCAGATCCATTAATAGGCCACAAAAACAGTCGCCATATTGTAATTTCTATAGACAGTTTGAGAATTATTTTAAAATTAAATAAAAATACTAGCCTGTAACCTTAGCAAAATAAACAAGGAGAATCGATTCGTCGATACGATACTCTAGTACGAAAGTAAATAGGAAATTAAAAGTATTGATATTAAGTCTTGTTTGAACTAAGATTTCCAATACAAAATTTAACAATAACATGAATTCAATTCGCACTGCACGATTTTGTAAGAAGGATACCGATTAAAATCTTAATCGAATACACTTGACATTGCGTGTAGTAATGAGATGTATGCAGGATCGCCAAATAACCGGGACTCATCTGGGGTGTCCCGACATTTCTGATATGTACAGAGTCCCGATAAAAGTGAAGTTTAAAATAATTAAATCAAATCGCTCGGCATCAGACACGAAGCAGCCTAAGAAGTTTTTTTACATAAAAAGGTATTTTTGTCCATCAAAACTTTTTTAAGCATTTGTAAAGATATGGCAAGATCTTAAACCTTAAACCGACCCCGCACCCGTCCTTAAAAGTAAGACAGGCTTCAGCGAGGCCTGCCTACCTGGTAAAACCCGCTGCGAAACCCGGGTCCTCCCCCACTAGACATGGCAACGTTAGAGTATGCGAGCGTGTAAGATGTGTTTTTTCATTGTTATTATGTGTGAGAAGCTATATTATAATACTGACTGTGTTTCTTCTTGAGCGGCAGCGGTGGCGGGCGCGGCGGATGGTGATCGGCCAACGTGTGGGGCCGCGCCTCGCCGTGCAACGAACACACAGGAGTTTGTCTGTTAGATAAACAGGTGTGAGCTGTAGTATCGCTATATTGTTTTAAGCTCTCATAGTAATTAACATTAGAATGATAATTTATGGCGGGATTGCTATCATGTACCTCGTTTTTGTTGAGTTCCCGATGTTTCTGCGCTATGTTTACCTATGACACCCACCTGCAAAAACTTCAGTTACTCGTGATCATAGCGCTTGCAACCGCGCCGAAATATCGGAGACTCAAAAAAACTTGTCAATGGTCAGATCTGTGATTGATATCGGAACACTTTTTTTTTACTTTTCATTTGCTTTGTAATTGGAGCTTTTGTTGTTACAATAAAGTTTTGTTAGTAAGAGCAGATTAGCTCAGCACCGAGCCTGTCCTGGTGCAACTCGGATGTGAAGCCAGTCTTTCATTGCGCGACTGTCGGAAACCCTAACTTCGAATTGAAGAGGGTGTACCATAAACGGTTATCATTAATAAGCATATTGATTATTATTACAGTTGCTATTTTTATATACAGGAACCGGAACACTTTTGATTAGCGAATACAATGTAAATACTTTATTTTGAAAATAAAAAAGAGTGAGACGACATCCTCGATTAAGACGAGTGCTAGTTATCACAAATTTGAATATTTCTTCAAACTATATTATAAATCTATTAAATAATGTCTATGTATTGCTTAAATATTTTACAAATGGCATGACATGCTGCAACTTTCTTCTTCAATGCTAATTAATTTTTAATCATTCTAGTTGTTCTTCGATAATGTAAAAAGGCACTTTTTAACCAATATTGATTAATTAATTAAGAACCGCAAAAGGATAAGTTCCATCAATACGAGATAAGCAAGCTGGCCGTCTTCAACGTTTAACCGAAATACGTAAGTCATTGTTTATGCTACGTAATTTTATTGTTTCCGAATATCAACATTATAATACAACGATCGCCAAAAACGAGACAGATAAAACCACATAGCGTATTATTCGAAAAAATAATAAATCTTTCTATAACCATTCAATGTCAGGTTTCAACTACAAAACAACATGGATATATGGATATTCATCGATATTTCTCTAAAAAAATCAGTTACGAGACTAAATCGAATATTGTCAAAATATTACAAGTACCTCAAATTAGTAATTACTTCATTTATTAACATCATTATTTTTACATTACAATTTATTTTGGCTTTATTCCTTTTGTTTACAATAAACCCTATATTAGTGGCTTAGTAACATCAATATTATACTGATTTAACAAAAAATATTATGGTAATAAAATAATATATTGACCATTTTAAAAGTGCAAAAGCCAGTATTGCTAAAAAAAAGTTATGTATTTATTCACTACAACACACAATAGCATTAACATTTGACCCAAGACGCGACGTACACAAGTATAATACGACAAACGCAATGATAAAAAAAATCACTTTCCAACTGACAACACCGTCACGAATCTGTCATTGCCAATTCAACAGTCTCTTAACAATAAAAACAAAACAAACGTCAGTAAAACGTGTGCAATACCGTTAACTTGCGTTCCGCTACGACCTCGAGGTCGCTATGAAGTAATCGCCCAATTTTAATTTTCTTATATTTCGCTAACAAACCAACTATGTACTTACTTGTTAGATACAACAATGATTTGGATAAACAGGATAAAATTTTAAACACTGTTTTTTTTAATAATTAATTTTAACAAGTCCTTATCTTAGAATACGCACCTGTTATTATTACACATAGCAATTAGTATTATTAAGACGCATAACGTAAAAGCGCACTATCTTCACTCGCGAAGTAAAATTTTTCCACAGGTACATTCTGGACGAATATCACAACAAATAATAAACGTCATTTGCACGTGTCTGGAATTCACAGCGTCTGCCCCGACACGACAGAAAACACATACCAGGATTCAGACATTTAAACCTCCTTATTTACACTCCCGAAAATTAATATAACTTTGCTGCAGACACTAATCAATATATTTAAAAGTCAATCCTTATTTTCCTTGGTCACGCCATCACACGTGAACGGCTGGACCGATTGCCTAATTCTTTTTTGTTGTGTTTGTTCTAGTTAGAAGAAGGTACTTATGAAAGAAAATATAAGAAAATTGTGTGGAAAATTCAAGAATTTTTAACCACCATAAAATTATTTCTAATCTAACCAATGTGCTTTGGATAATATAAACTTGTTTAATGTAACCTTATGGCGTTTGACATACAATGAACAGAATGCGTGATGCAAAATTTCATAATTATGTCAGGACAACGTCTATCGGGTCAGCTGGTGTCGTATAAAATAGGCAATATTGATGTAATCACCTGATCTCGACAGTGGGGAAGTGTTGTTGTACATCCGCTCGGATGTTGCGACGCGTCTTCGCCGGCAACTCTGGCGGCGTCTCGCTCTCGTCTGACGTGATACTGGCGAGCCTGTACACACAACAGCTGTTATGTACTAGGGTTAGCAAAATTTTATCAGTATTGTTATGTTTTTTTAATTTATATTAACAACAACAAACGCGATTTTATCTTTTATGTTTATAAGTAACTAAAATCCGGCAGCATGGACCTATTTGAAAAATTGTTTGACTAGATATATATGAAAATTATTTTTATTAAGGTAGAATATGAATAGAGATTAAAAAAAAGTACATTAAATAATCAAGTATGATATACAGAGTAACTAAAACACAAGCAAAGAAATCATAAACAGTTCATTCTAATAATGTATTTTTTTTTTCGCGCTAATATGACTACTAGATGCTGGCTTAATTTTTTTTTAAATAAAAGCGACTAAAAGTGACGACTAATAATGTCAACTGTCAACATGTTTAAAAAGGAACTAACTGTAGCAAAAACACCCCAATTTAGGTAGTTTAAATGATATAGGCAAAATATATTAAATCAATAATTTAAGATTAAATTACGCTTACATAGCGTAATTTCTTTAAAATTTGAATATTATTCATCGTAAATGACTTTTTATTATCAAGGTTACACATTATAACAATGAATCTGATTACATTTTACCCAACTCTGTAAATAGTATTCAAGCGCGCAATATAGTAAAAAAAAATAATAGTAAGGTCGACAACCCTAGTTACGCCACAACACTACCCTTGACAATGTAACAACCAGTACAGCACAATTACATATTACAAACGCTTATTTTGCAACTTGTATAAACACACCAGTTACGTGCGCACGCGAACTGACGAAACGTAGGTAATTGGGTGTAATAAACGCGGCGAACCTACGAGCATACACAGACGGTACATTTACAAATCTGTGGCAAGTTGTACATCATATATCTGTTACGTGATATGTCTGTAGTGTTGCGGTTTAGTATATACTTGAATGTTTTATGTAAGTTGCCCGTCATATTTAACAATAATATACACATTGAAAAAAAGAAAAATACGCACAAGTAGATACTTCATAAACATTCGGCAATAAAAACATAAATGTCTACCGTCTCTTTTTCAATCATAATCTCCCACTGTTAAGTGGGGCACATTTCAGTTTCAAGTTGTAACTGTCTCTGAAATCCCGAGTTCAGTTCCCGGTTCAGTCAACATAGAAAATGTGCTTTCTTATATTGTTTAGGATCTGTCCACAATACAAGGAATTTTGCTACCTACCCTGAAATGTATGAGATGTCTAATTTATTATTTTAAAAAACGTAGATATATTCTATCAAATATATATATTTTTTTAATAATCCTTTATAATCTTCCATACTTATGGTAAGTGGTAAGGTAAGTGTTTGTGAGTGGTCAGTAAGTGCGTATAAGCGATTTGTGTGTTGTGAAACATCTAAGGTCACTCACTTCGATGAATGGTGCGTGGTTATACTGTTCATATTGATAACATTCATGCGGGTCTCAAAGCTTTGACGTGTGCACCTCATTTCGCTCACACAGTCTGTACTGTCAAAATGACTGCAAAAACAATAACAGAAAGCGTTGACATGACATTCAATATACATACAGATATATGCTTCAATTGAGAAGGAAAAAAATAATCAATTCAATTTCTACATTTTAATTTCATAATCTGTATGTATATTCAATACAAAGATGAAAGAGAAAGAAACTTCACACACATAAAAAAGACACAATCAATAGTGAAATTAAACACGTAAAACAACACCGGTAAAAACACAGGAAGATGTGAAAATAACAAACATATACAAAATGGCAATGTGTGTTACCTATCAGAGTGACTGGAGTAGTGATGCGAGGAGAACGATGACGTAAAACTATGTTCTGTCGATATCTCCGTGTGACCGACAGAAACAAATCCGGACTCATTGGAGAAGCTTCAAACAAATGGACATTTACATAAAAAGAAATCATATTGAAGATAGAACTAAGATAAATTCGCAGACAAATCACAAAAAATAGAAACTATATGGAAATCAAAGTAGCTTACAAAGAAAAAGAAATGAATAAAACGACTTCGTAATCATATAAAGACATTAATTAGTATTATTGTCTTTGTACGAATAAAACACATTAGCTTCTTCGTTAAAAATATATTTTTTGATCAGAATCATTTCATCCCCTTAAAAAATAACAGAAGAAGAAATTTCAATTGACCGCCTTTATTTTAATTTTTAAAATTTGCCAGAGACATATCGACTGAACCATAAACACATCGATATTTCCACTCGATCAATTTTCATTATTTATCGCCGATGTAAATGTTGTTATTTTCTTTTATAATAATATAAAAAAACTCACCGGTTATGATTATTGTGCGGATGTACGTGAGGCGCGCTCAGTTGAGACTCCTGGGACTCCACCGACGTACGCATTTCACTCGAGCTATTGCAGCTGCATACACCTGGCGAATAAATATATTTGTGAAAAATGAACGTTAAGGCGTTAATGTTCATGTGGATATGACCCTCGGATAAAATATTTTAAAGTAACGTTGAAAAAAGAAAGTAAAACGAGTGAGTTTAATACTATACTCTTCTCGACTCGAAGGGTTTTTTAAAGTCATGCCAACATTCTTTTCAAATCCTCATACGAGTATTCCAGGCTTATCCATACTACGACAACGTGTCGAAAAGCGCAACATAATTACTTATTGTATTTTTAAAAATAACCAATATCGGATATGCGCACACATGATTATAAATTCTAAGTTAACATTTCTTTATGAATACCACAAAATTGCTTACAATAGAATATTTCACTGTGAATATAAAATTATCAACGAAAAGAAGTTTGTATACTTATTCAGCACTATAAGCGCAAAACATCAATGACTTATATAAAAAGAAAGTTGGCATCTTAATTGTATTAGCTATTGTTCAAAACTTGGTCAATATATTCGGGTCAGGTAATGCACAATATTCTAATGACAAAAATAATTAATTAAAAAACATTATCAGTTCATTTCTTAATTTGAATTGAGGTCAGGTGACTTACATAAATTCATAGTAATCGATAAAATTATTTACAATGATATTTCATTTTGGGCATTACAAAGTACATTACAAAGAATTCGTACATCCATCTACCACAGCATATTTTATCACGAAAATGTCATGTGGGTTAGCCTTATATTATTAAGATAATTAAAGATATAAATTAAAGATATTATTTAAGATAATTAAAGATATAAATTTAAATAAAATAATACAGTTAGGGTATTTCGCCTTGCTTGTTTCAGTACTCACCTATAATATCGTTAGGCGGTGTACTAAAAACATGATCGTGATTGTTTGTGTCGTGCACGTGGCGTTCCTCGTCGTTGGACACATTCAGCATGGAGTCTAGGGAGCCGCTGCTGTGCGATTGTAAAGATAACCTGAAAACATTACTTCAACAGTAAAACCCATAGCATTTTTACCAAAATTTTTAGATTTTTAATAGATATAATTTTATAGATATAAAATTTCGCTCCGGTTTGGGACGAGTATAATAAACGTACAGTGAGATACCACTCAACATTTTACTAGGCAACCGATTTGCCCATCACCGTTATCGAATAATTCACCAAATTTTCCCTATTCCTCCCGATGAAATTCTTTGCTCGGCATCGTAGGCAGGAAAATCTTTTTGGGAGAGTTTATCCCATTCCAATAGACAAAAAACTTGGTGACATTGTAATAAACTCAACATACAAACTGCCTTTACCGATAAAAATATTGTTTATACTTTGTACAGACCACTTTCGACTCATCTATCCATTCGTTGATTAAATAGATCAAAGTCAGTTCTATTTATGATTCACGATACTTGTTATTAATGAAATAGGGATGATGAGTGGTTAAAAAAAAACTTATTTAATTTTGTTATTCTATTTACCAAATTGAAGCTTTTTACGTCAATTTAACAACAAATAGAGAACAAGCATCAAAATTGAGGAGTAGGGGTTCGCTATGTCACAGTTTTGTAGAAAATTTTTAAATCAATGTCAGTCAGTTGCACAAACGTCCATTAAAAACGTCATTAATTTAAAGCGACATTACCGATACAAATCTGACATTCATTAAAGCGTAAAAGCGTAATTTAACCTTAATGGACGCTTGTGCAACAGGCCGTTATTTCATGATTACGCAAATAATAAAAAAAATACGTATTTAATATTTTTCACATTCTACCCGGCCAGATTAACAAAAAAAAAATACTCATCACTCCTAATAACTTCATATTTAAATAGTTTCTTTTTAACCAATTTAATATAAAATCTATTTTATTTACAAAAATATTATGGCCGCAATTCGGTCAATATCGTTATAGAAATGCATGTTATATCAAACTATTAAAAATCGGCAACAATCTCGAACACTGCTTGCCAAATCTTCGATTAAAATAATTTGTTCCACTATGAAAACCTATCTGTATATGAATAGATAGGTATTATAAATTAGTATCTGTTAATAGCGTGACAAAAATGCATGAACGCGAATTCAATAGATATCCGAGTAAGTATCGAGTATTCAAAGTAGTTTTCTAAGTTCATTGCACCTATATTAACTTTCACATCGTTTGAGGCGAGTGCGGCAGTTACGCTGTGGTTTCAAACGAGCCCTTTTACCAAGATACAGGTAATTCCAGTAGAATACCTAAATAACTCTGCGTCTATCATTGATGCACATTGATGTGTGGATACAAGTTTTCTATTTACAGTGTGCAATCAGTAAAAGCAGAAGCGTATCTATCATGTGTCAACAGAACCTTATTCGGAGGCATTAGAATATATTTTCCACCTTAAATTCGTAATTGCATTGACAATGACGGAAACTTTGTCTATTTAAGCTTTGAACCTTTCCTTACCTATCAATGGACAGCGCTAGATGGGAATTGTCATTCGCGGACTTGCGCTTCGGCGGCAGCGGTGGTGCCAACTCGATTTTCCTGTAACAAAATTTCACTTTCACTCGTAACTGGTCTTAATGCACATTTAACTTAATTGCTAATGTAATGAGCCTTATGAAACATTTAATGAAGCATAAGTTGTTTCCCACGTATGGTTTAACCGTAAATGGTGTGGTGTCGTATTTTTTATATTTTACATCAATGTACATACACGTGTATTTTAACCGTTACAATAGTCGTAATATGTCAGATTGTTAGTATGGATGAAATGAAAATTGTAGGCAATCGCAGCCTAAGGTGATGAATACACCTAAGTGAGTGCTTTACCAGCGGTCGCCAGTGAATCGAATAGAATAAAAAGTTTGCATTTGTAGTTTTATCATTAGACATTAATTAAATATTTGGTATTAATATAATATTAACCAAATAATTTATAAAACAATTCATTTATTTAAAATACCTATTCTCTATTTGTCTAAAGTGTGTAAAAGAAAAAGGATTTGTAACAGATCCACTGCACAAAGCCGGGCCAATGTTAATTAGCGCATTTTGTTTGCACATTGTTAAACAAGTCTTATTAAAAGTGTAAGATTTATAATGATCTGACATTTAAGATTGATTCCATGTCGAATTATTACCACAACTGCATTCTGCTATCGTATAATCATTTATTTGCTATTGTTAACAAAAAATAAATTGCTAGTCATTAGTGATAATTAGTATAACGAGCTATCATTACACAAGTGTTATACACAGTCGTAAAATTGTACAATTGCTTCCATAAATCTACAATACCACGTAACAGTTACATTTTTTTTTCTCAAAACAGTCCACTCAATCGCACCACACTCGTTTTCTACTCGCGGATCTCGTAAAGTTTATTAAATGATAACTATCTACCATTATATTAATTATATTTCAGTTCATTGTAACTAGATAAGATACATATCATCGCAATTAATGACGTTAAAGGAAACAATGCAAGAAAAAAAATGTGATTCGTTACTAAAAACTTGCAATTTACTAACAAGTTTAAATTGTAAAACCCCGTTTAAATCTTATTATATAATTATTAGATTAGAACATAGTTCTTAATTTAACGATGGATTCGTGTAATCCAATGAGAAGAGAGTAAAACAAATATCAAGAAAATGTTCAGTTCCTAAATGCTTCTATCCCAGGGTTCGTCAACTTCACGAGAGGGAAAAACTAAAAGCTTCAATACAGGTGTAGACAGTAAACGTAATTAAATTAAAAAAAAAACTGGAAGTGTTTAATATACTATTAACAATAAACACTTTTATGCTTATTATATTTCTTAAATTAATTACGAAAAACAATTTATTTATGCATACATTCGTTTTAGAAGGGCGTCATGGGCGTAAAGTCATAGCGACGCCACGACAGACGATAGCGTTTTCGCGGGAAATTTTGATAATTCAGTTTATTTTTAAATTTTAACTTATTACATGAATGACACTTTTATATATAGATATATTGCATATATATCTATAAAATAGAAGTATACAAATTAGTTGTCTACAACCCTATTCAAAATATGTCAGTTTTTAAAGAGTCAATGAAATTTGTTTTTAATATTATTTAAATTTCTATTTCAGATTTTATTTCTAACCTAGTTGTTTTTCCGCGACTTTGTCCACTTAAATAATAGCGTATGTCTCCCACGTATAATGTAACTATTCATAGGTGAAAGAATTATTAAAACCTATTCGGTAGTTTCGAAGCCTATTCAATGTAAACAAAAAACTAAATACTTTCTCTTTATATTATATAGATAAACTGCTTTTATCCAAGTCTCAGTCATAGTCAGTATATCTTAATTGTACGGGTACTCAACTGTGGATAGATTTAAAGTAAAATAAAGTCTGTAAATGGAACTTGAGAACCAAAACTTCATATAGAAAAAGCGCAAGGTTGCTAACCCCTGTTCTATCCGATCAGAGGTATATTACCTAAATTGATAATGTGTACAAATTAATATTAAAAACAGGAAAATACGTTAGTTTGTTTGTCATTGTTATTATGATATATTCAGTATTTTTGGTGAATGGATAGTCAGAAGTTCCATAGGTTATATTTAACCGCGAAAAAAATACCAGGCGATCGACGGATGACTTTGGAAATAAAATTATCATAATAGATCTTCATAACATACCGACTGGGCCTAGCTGGCTTAGGTGGGGGTGTATCAGGTGCATCTAAAACAGATTCCGATGAGTGCGACGCACGTACGCCTGCTGTCTCGTTCCCACTCTCCCCGGTCAACAGCGATCTTTCTTTTGGAGTAAGAGGTATATCTAATAATAAGAAATTTAAAAAACATTCATCAAATACTTGTATGTTCCAATTATAATTACAAAAATTAATTAGTGACATAATTAGAAGTAACCAGTAACAGATAACAAGTACTAAGAATCTATATTATTATTGTTAGAACGTCATCAATAATGTTTACGCACTTACACTACTATCATAAATTAATGGCTACAATAATAATGTACGAATCAATCATTTTCCCGTTTAATAAAACTCGCTTATAGCAACATAATATTAATACATAATACTCGTTGGAACGATAAAAAAAAACATCAATTTCGAAACATGTCGTTATGTTGTCTATATGAAATTAATTTTTATAGTTATAATTTACGGGTGTATAATAAGTTTATATGACGTCAATATTAATAAAATGACAAGGCCAAAAATTATTTTTATTAAATTTTGCATTTTAAATGCTATCTGATTTAAGGTCAAATTATGATCCGAATTTTTTAAGTGTATATTTATTTCTTTGGTGAAATAACCTTTTTTATTTTACCATCTGCTGTATGTGTCATAAATCAAAATATTTCCTAGTTGTATTAAGCATCATATTTGCCCTTGTATCGGTAACAAAGATTGATAAAGTAATCTATGACAAGTAAACACTCACCAGGTAAAGAATTCCTCTGAGTAGAAGACCGTGGCGAGACTAACGCCGGCCGCGGTGACAAGGCAGGCCGAGTCATGTGCTGCTGGGCAAGTGCTGCCACTTCCTCGACCGCGGACGTTACACCTTTGACCACAGAACTGACGTGTTCCGGAGACAACGCCGGTGCTGACGTATCTAACTCCTCGTTACCAGCGTCAGCGCGAAGGCTCACCGCCGTTATCTCATCACATAATCGAATGAGCATTGCAAGCGCTGTACAAAGACGTTTCACAGCACTCATTAGCTGTGGAGATCGGCTGCAATAAGGCTTTATTTCTGAAAAACAAGTTCACAATATAAATTAATGCTAAGCAAAAACTTAATCACAAAAAACTGGAAGCACAGAATCATCGTTTTTATCGAAACGGCATTTTGATAGCCTGTTACTTATTTAGAAAACTTACACAGCTCTTTTGAAATCGTATCATGCTTTTTTGTACGTATTATTGGCTAAGAAATAATGAATGGCAAAACATTATAATGACGAGATTAATATACCTTTATGAATGTTGGCAATAGACTCGAATACAATCGTGCCATTGTCGGGCAGCATCTCCAGCTTCCTTTTTGTGATGACATCCGAAAAGTGTTTCAAACCAAATGTAACCTGCAATCGCAAAAAAGTAATGTAGACTACAATGAATGCAATTTATCGGCTGAATGGTCAAGTGTGGTATGTACAAAAGGAGCGTTGGATATCACAAACCTCTTTGACGAGCCGTTCCAATTCTTTAGCGGGCGTGACTTCCCCCTCTTCTGTGGTGACTGACTTTGTCCCCATGTTCCGAAATTTCGGACTAAGCGGGGAATGTGACCTAGAATAATTTAGAACAGGTGCTCAAGACATAATTCTCAATATTTTATTATACTCTTTAAATTTTATGCTATTTATAGCGCAGGTTCCTTTGTTAATTAAATTGTAAAAGAAACAGTAATGGTCTAAATAAATATCGAAATGAATGAAAGAAAAATATAAATACGAAACAAAGGTCATAAATGTTTAATAAAATTTACTTTGTACATTTTACCTATATCGTAAAGCATATTTTTAATAGTTAATTCTAACAAGTTAAAATAAATTACAGCAACTCATAATTATCCCAGAAAACTTAAGATGGAATCGCTAAGTAAATGTCATTAATAATAATACTACGTTTTATAGAGAAACACAAAGTCACTGCTCGCTATTTTTAACTTTACCTTGACTAAATATAATGATTTTTATATATGGCCAAAGCAATGAAGAATTTAAGATTGAAATGAAAAAAATGTTAGAATGGCTTCATAAACATAAAAATCTACTTTTAAAGACAATACTAAATTAAAAATTCATTTGTCTTAAGCACCATAAGATGGAATATAATACTACGACTTTAAGCTAGATAGCCACAACTGCTATCCCATTTGAGCTACCGAACTCTGACGAGACTATCAAACTTATCAATTACGTGTTACTGTATAACAGCAGATTCTGTATGCCAAAAGTAAAAGAAAAATAAAATATGACAAGTTTATTCCGGCTCAATTGTACAGTTTAAGTAAATGTTATGATTTCCTGGTGGCACCGATTCCGCCGAATCGGTACATTTCTAATTAAAGTGATCGGCAAGTTATTTATTCGAATTTACCGTTTCCTTTTTTGTAGTTAATGAGTTACTGTTAACTAGGTACTTAAAATTCGTCGCTACACAAATTGCTTGTTTACTGAATGGACAATGATGTAATTCATATGCCAGTGCATATTACAGTGCACTCTGAACGTAAAATATTTACATTATTTCAAATAATTCATTGATGTTGTTTTATAATTTTAAAACCAATCATTAAAAAGATAATTTACCCATCGAAAATAAATGAACAAAGTCAAGAAAACAAGTTTTATAACAGCAGATCTTTTCAAATATGATTTCCTTGATTTTCCAATGGGTTGCACCCCTAGATGAATATATTGCCCTATAACACAATATGGGGATGGGGGCGTAAACAAAAGTATGTATAAACCAAATTATTAATTCAGTCCTATTCCTATTTTGACATCTTTAATAACAAAAATTCATCAATGAATCGGGGCTTTAGTTATGCGGTAGAGCCGCTGAGGGTAGAGTCAGTTATCGATTATTTTATAACTTGAAAACAATTTATCCAATTTGTCCAAAAAATGTGATCCAAACAGAAATTCCTTTCATTTGTCATGTTATAAATGAAAGTATGCAAATCTTCTTTTAATTTTCTAATTTATCCTCAAGACGATGGCCTCTTGGGAGTTTTTTGGTTTCAACTCGAGTATTCTATAGGAGAGGTACCCATTCAACCACTTTGTAGTGTAGCCCCACCTATTGAGACGCATCCCGACGCTTCTCTCGTTGTAGAGGTACCCCCCGTCAAACCGCCACAAAGTCGATATGTACTCATACATACCGCACTAATCCATTACGGTTTTTTTTCTCAATCACGACCAAAAAGAGCACAGGAAGAAAAACATATTAGACAACAAAATTCTATACGGACGTACACGCAGATAACAGTTAGTAGTATATAGTAAATAACTATATCATTATAATAAGACCGTATGACTGATACAGAGAGATAAGAAACGTGACTGATATTTTCTGTTTAATTTTCTTTATAAACTTAAAACAAAAATGAATAATCCTTTACTAAATTTTGATAAAAAAAATATGATTAGTTTTGAATGTGGCAAATAAATAATAACATTGATTCTAATAACAGCGCTAATACTTATTACATAAAGATCGCTAAAATACCTCTGCGTGGAATGTATTGGGAAACAGACTATTTTGCATGCGAAACCCACACTGCATAGCAAATAACTACATCGAATTGTATTTAATATTCAAGTAGGAGGTCCCGGTTCACCTCCACACATAAACAAATAAAAATACGATGAATAAATAATTAAATAATAAAACATGTCATTATAAACTCTATATAGTTATGTCAATGGTCGTCAATTTTACCCAGGCCTTAACAAAAATATCAAGGTAAAATCACAGGTATACTAACTTAAATGTTTTTGTGAAACTAAAAAACATCGGACCGGTGGAGTTAATATACACGTCAACCTACTTCCACAATTTTTTATTACCAAATCAAAAAGTGTCTTAACAGATTCCACAATGACTCTTCCGAAAATGAAAATTTTACAATGTAAACGTTCCATTCAAGCACAATTGATTACGTAAACGATTTGGATTAAAAACGGGCCATAGCCTGAACAAAAACAATCAGCCTCAACACGGAGGCCTAATTACAATCAAACAAATCGTACCGTCGACCTCCATTGTTAACAAATCTCCGCTGCAGTACATTCGTGCGTTTGTTGAACCAGACACCGACTGGCGAACGCACCGCGTTCGACATTTATGTGCAAACAGCCGAATCACTACGCCCGAACCGTAAAGAACACTCGATCACACTAGTCGCACGGTCGGATCACAGAGAACTACTTTCGAAAACCTCAACGGCAAATAAAATCTTCCGTCCACTAGCTATACACAATTAATAAAAAGCTGTTCAGTCACACTGCCACAAACCGGGTGAGGACATTATAATGTACTTAATCACTTAACATTGCACGCATCTAATGAGACTTTAGCGAACAGTCGGTAATGAGTGCGACGGGTCGCGGTCATGACTCACAATAAAATCCACATTTAGTGCAATGTCTACATTAATGTCACACAAACAGTAAAGCACTGCAAGGCCCCTCGCGCTCTAACTCAAAGGTTAGTAACACACGACCGACAATAAATACGTGACTATTTTATGAAAAATCCAAAATTAAATATGTAAAATAACAATGGCATTGTTCTTTCGTTAATGGCTGAGATAAAACTGTTAAACTAAACAACACTTTCTCACTTCGCCATCAAAAAGATAAGAAAGTTATGTACGTAAAATTATCATTTAGATAAGGGACAATTATGTTTGAATGTTTGATCAGTGTATACAACACGTCAGATAATACTAAGACATGAATGATACCTACTGGAATCTTGATTATTCAATGAAGTTTGGATAATTTACTCCATTTTTATATGTACAGTGATTAAAAATAAGCCTATTTATCAGTCAGAAATTCATATTCATAAATCCATACACAATAAAATAAAGAAAAATAGCGTCCAGAATAAAATATTATTTTAAGTATATATTTCCCCTGCTAGTTAATAACACTGAAAGTGATATAACTCTTTGTAAAGATTATGTGAGTAAACTTAGGTTATTCCCAATTCGTTTCCTCGAATGTTAATAATTCTCTCTCTCTCTCCTTGATTGTAGTCATAAACATACGATTACAAATACGAACCCACGTAACCCAACAGGATTGTAACTATTCTTTTTCGAACATAATATGGATCCATTAAGTATTTCGTATACTTACTAATAATTTAACCAAAATGTCTCATATTCATATTTCAAATGTTCAATTAATGCATTTACATACATATAAAATAAATAAACATATAAAATATGTTTTAATAACTTAATTAAATAAATAATTTAATTTAAAAAAATATGTTTTATAATTATGGGCTAAGTCTGGCACTGACAGTGGCTCGGTAACTATTACCTGATTATTTATATATTTTATCCCGAAAAAAAGGAAATAAAGGGATGAAAATGCGAGTGGAAGTTTGTATAGGGAATTAAAACGTGACCATAGTTTACTATTCAATTTGTTATTGTAATTATATCTGTATCATGATATGAAACCTTATCCGAATGAATTATTAAATTAAATTCTTAACCTGGATTAACCTGCTTTTATCCCACTAAACAATTCCCTAAGGACAATGCAGGCGAAAAGCTAGTATATAATACTATAATAAGCTAGTATATGAGACTATAAGATAACCTCTACAAAACAATATTGTCTTATTCCCAAATAATTATGAATATGCAGTTTTTCCTATTGATAATATAGATAGTATAATGTAGATTGCATAGACTCTATTCTAATATATGCAACAGAAAAGATTTATTGTTTACATGTTTTTTCAATTTTCTACGTGACATCATAAGATTACGCGACTGTAATTTACGCGGGCGAAATCGCGCGAAAACAGCTAAGTTGTTTAATATATTTACAGAAAATGAAATAAAATAATTCTGACTACATCTAGGGCATTACATATAAATGTCACACAAATATTTTATAACTTAATCGACAGTCATGTTTTCGGCAAGAACTTTCCATATGAGCTGGCAATTTGATGTTACATTTAAAATCTGCTTATTATTATAGCAGTTAACCTCGAAACTATTGTAATATCTGAACAGATGTTGTCATCTTAGAATTTGGTACGTAAATGGTTTTGTATTATTAAAGATGAAATAAACCTGCATGTCAAAAAATAAAAGACAAATCATACTTCGCTGGTAAAAATTCTTAGCTTTTTTTTGAGTTCGCGGTTTCACCTCTTCAATTTATTCAAAATGCAATGTCTTTTGAATTAAGAATAAACCGAAAACGAAATTATTACGGAGTGCTATTTAAACTGTCGTTTCCTTGCGCAATCAAAGTTACATTTAGTTTTTGTTATAGTTGAAATCGCACCCGATAAGAAGAAAGTAAAGGCTATCATTAAGAACCAGATTATATGTAAAAGTTCGGGTCACTAATATTTTCACCGGCTTTTCAATATATATGTAATACGCAGATTCTCTTTAAATTTAGCAAGATTGAACCAACGTCAAACTTTTCAAAAGAAACATCATTCATAATATCTTAAATAACTTATGTCACCCGCTTCTTCTTATGTTGCTACCCGTAGCTGAAATAGTTTGATGCAAACAAATAAAAAATGAGATCTTTCCTCTTTATAAAGTTAGTATAGATTTCAATGATATCTTGTATAATTCTCTAAATCAGTTCATATCGTCTTGAACGCTACGTTGGAGTTCGTGATACTAAAAGTTTGAGAAACGCTGTCGTATTACTCTGAGTATACTAAGGTACTTAATAACGGTAGAATACCTGATAGCGGAAGAGAGATGCGGAGGGTGATGCTGTTGCGCAGGCGAACGCATATTGGAGATGCGCTCAAGCAAGTCGTCTTTGAAAGAACGTGCCCGCCGCGCCAGCTTGTTAGCGCCGCGCAATGAGCCGCGGTGTCCCGAGCCTGCTTCGCAGACTTCGTTCTCTGCAACCAAAATCGCTGGTTAATCTATTATCATCACATTTAATTTAAACGCTAAATATACGATATGCAACACAATTGTGTAAAACTTAGATTGTAGGGGTTTCTTTTTTTATTAATGAGTAGTTTTGATAACAAATAATCGAAAAGACCGACCTACACCAAAATTTATATGACGCAAAAATGTTGAAGGAGGTCTACACTGATTCAATAAATATAGAATAAAGAAGATGTTTATTTTTTTTTTTACATTTTTAAACACATACAAAATTTAAGACGATGGCTGATTATACCCAAAAGATTCCCGTACAGAAAGGAGATAGACCATCGTTTACATGGTCGTATATAAAAAATATGAGACTCACCGTAAGCACAGTGAAAAATATACCAAGAAACTGACCTCCAGAAACTAATAATTATGCTCAGAGAAAAAAAATGCAAACTAGGGCCTAATTCTACTGATATTACGGTGACTCAATTGCTTTTGACACGATCTTGTACTAGTTACAAGTCAATCACAAAATAAAAATGTATATGAAGAAGAGATTGCACTAACATTGGGTCTCTGGTAAAGACAGTACAATGGTCAAATCCAATTAATTGAGACGCCATTATTATATTAAGCAGAATTGAGCTTCAGTAGTAAAGTTTCAAAGGTCACACTAGTTAACACCTACCGAGCTATATTAACAAAACATATTGAATTAACTTGATTTTTTATTTTCTCTAGTGAATAGCTACACAACATTTTCCGTGCTGGCAAGTTAAGAAATAAAATCTAAATACTGAAAGTCGAAGTGGATGTGTGCTGCAATTGCAAGTACAGAATAATATTTTTATTTTTCAATTTTTGTAACATGTGACAACACTGAAGGTGTCATTACAGTGCGCATAAAGCTAAGGAGACAACGAGACGAAATCGCAAAGCCAATCCATGAAGCCTTATCAAAAATTATTTTTAATTAATTATTGGAAAACCATTACAATTACAGTGAAATCATTTGCACAGGCCTTGGCTACAAGTGGCTCATAGATTTATTAAATTTCGTTATGAACAAGACTATTATTAAATATTGTTGAATTGGGACTTTGTTTTTTTAGTATTAAAAAGCTGAAAACTGTTCAGGATTGCGGCTAGAATTGGAAAATTTCAGGATGTTCCGAGTTTGCATTAGAAAACTTTTTATTATAGAGCTTTTTGTTTCAGGGTTCATTTTCGTTATCAAAATAAAGTTACTGGCAATATTTTTTTAAATACAGAAGAATTCATAATTGAAGTAACTTTTCTTTTTAACGTTTTAAACTATAAAAATAATACAAACAAAATAAACAAAAAATTACTGTGAAAACACATTGCACATAATAAGTGAATTTAAAATATTTTTTAAATAAAAAGGAGGCTTTTATTTATTTTTTTTGTTTTGTAGTCAATCTTAGTAATTTATAATTATCAAGATAATCATAAAGGTATATTTATCAAGATAATTATCAATGATAATAAGTACTCCAAACCCTGTTTATTTATCTAGAAACTGTTTCTAAAATTATTTTTGATCATGTTAATTACAAAAATTTGTAAACATATACTTGTTGAGATATCTCTTACTACTTTATTAACAAATCATAAAGCTTATATCTTTAATTTTTAAAAATTTTAACAATACTTCGTGCGTTCGTAAGTTTTGAGAGAAACTTTTTAATGAAAAAATTTAAATAAAATGTTATTGGCTGTTATGATTTTGAATTTGGAATATTAACTTTTAGTTTATTTGTATCGCAAATTCATTTATTTATATTTTCTCGTGATGGAGGGAACAAAATAATTTCAGAATAAAGATTTTCCGCGAGCTGAAAAGTATTGCTGTAATTTGTTAATTATTATCTATTTAATGGTTACTGAAAATTATATAAATAAAATTGATTATTAAAAACGTTACGCAACTTTTAGTTCGTCTCAAAACTAATGAATACACGAGGTATATCAGAATTTTTCAGTCTTATTATTGATGTGAACCCTATTCTAGTCCGATTACGGTTTATTTTAATACTAACTTTCCGACAGCGATTTCGCCCGCGTGGTCCCTAGGGTACTATTTAGTGGGATAAAAAGTATCCTATTATCTAAGTCAGCAATACCCTATCCGTATTCCAAATTTCATCAAAATCCGTTCAGTAGTTTCGGCGTGACTGACGGACAAAAATACAAACAAAGAAACTTTTACATTTATAATAATATCAATAAATTTATTTCTTTTGTTCAGAATCAATACGATATGAGTAAATTGCTTTTCTTTTCGTGGTCTACCATAAAAAGAACTTGAAGCTGTTCCTACCAGACACAAGCATAAATATAAGAAAATAAATAAGGCAATACGATAAAGCAACATGTACTTAATTATATCTTATTTGTCCTACAAGGTCGATTGGTCCACAGTTTAGTAACAAGTGAGGTTCTGACATCAAAAACGATGGAGGCTGTATTATAATTTATTATATGAGGTCATCACTTCAATGTTTTAAAAGACGAATAATTAATATTAGTGCCTAATGTGCACAGATGCACAGAACCTTGATTAGGTTTTGTTATTATTTAATATAAGTGAATCGACATGATTATGAAGTGTCCAGCCATATAAGGAAACATTCCAGCAACCGCTACATATTGAGGTCAATTACAGCAAAATGCTGAGCTATACCTACAGTTTAATTCAATGGAACTGATTTTATTAATAACGACTAATAAATATTGAAGGATAACTATAGTATATAAGTATTTAAAAAAACATGCAATATTGAAAGTAATAACAATATTAAAAAAAAAAAACAATATCATACTGATATCCTGTCAAATTAGAGCACGTAATACTGAAAATATAAAAGGATTAAACTATTGCCATTGAATGAATTTGTAATAAAATCAATAGATGGCCAAAAACTAGAATAATGTTAACAAAAGATTGGTGATTTGTTTGTACCTGAAGACAATGACGTAAGACAGCACCTTCTTCAGACAAAAACGGCATGAAAACAAATATCTTTACATAATAAAACAGATAAATTGTGAAACAAATTGGACAATTTAAATCCAAGAGTGTACGGTACTGGTTTGTAAACACTAGTCTATCACTATGATGATGCACGTTTATTTATAAACGCGAAGGCGACAGGAGGACGCGCCCATGCCGCGGTTTGCGTCGACTGAACTCGCGACCGACCGACGGTCGCCAGCCCATACGGCCACAGTGCGTCACACATATCACATCATAAACAGTTCTGATATTAAAAACGCACTTAGCATGCAGCTCCGGTAGCGACAGACTACCCTCTGTCGTCTCTCCGTTCGGCCCTTTGAACGCACACACTCGATAACCGAAGAGGAAATACGATAAGTTTCAATAGCAACGCAACAGACACACTCACCCAATTAATATCGTATTTAAAAACAAAAGTAATACTCATTTAATGGAATCGTTGTGGTAAAAATATTCACTTTCTGCACCTTAATTAGCTACTATGAAAAAAAACGACGTCCGTTTTAAAAGTTGACTTCAATTAATTATATTATTACCTCACTTTCACTACTTTCAGAACCTTTTAATTTAACCAAATTAACCACTCATTACAAATTATAAAGTATTATTACTATACATATACCTTAACGAACGATGAAAACGTTATGGTGAAAACATTATTTTTAGTGAATTTTGCAGTCATAATGCTACCTTACACTTTGCATATCGTAAAAAATACTTGAAAAACAACTGTTTTCTTTTTATTTAGGACGTCGGTGTCCATTTGCTGACACAGGCACTTTTTTAAGTTATCAAAATATACAAGTCATCAAAATATCAGCTGATTTATTTAGGTACGGTCATCGACAAAAACCACACGGTTGAAATGCAGAATTATTTATAAAATAGGCAGAAACTTGAAGATGCCAAAAGCAAAATGAAAAAGGTTGCACTTATAAACAGAGACGACTATATATCAGAAAATATAAAATATCACATGAATATAGACAAAAATGATTTAATTTGACCCTCCGACCGTTTTCAATCCGGGGGCACGGCAGTGCGTTCACCAAGTCGAGAAAAAAGTAAAAAGAGCACGGCCGTACCATCCTTTTCTCGAGCCATCGGGCCATTTTTGGCCCCTGTAACTTCTAATGGAGTAAACTAGAAACCTAAATTTTCAGTGACCAAGGGGCCAATCACATGACGAGGCACATTTCCAAGTTACATTGAATTTGAACGAGTACTTTACGAATTATTGCGATTCAAAATACCTTAATTTTGTCACTGACTGACTGATCATCCAAATTCTAAGGTACTTCTAGCAGACCCACGGGCTTCAAATTTTGAATACTTGTTATAATTTTGCATACAGAGTAAGGTAAAAATCTAACATTATGAAATATTTGTCCCGTTTTTTAGATTTTTGTGTTATTTATAACTATAGAGCAAAACATCCGTCAATATGTTGCTTAGTAACCCAATTCAAATGTAAATTAAATATACATATTTAAAATATATGATAAGGAAACTATTATCATAGGAAAAGCTTTGGAAAAGCTATTTACATTTGGACATAATTATGCATACCATAGATATATAAATGGGCTTCGTTAGTATCCATAGGTATAATGATCGATACATAAGAGACAAGGACTACATTGATTCTTCAGTATTTACATGCGGTTAAGCATATGTAGAGTAGCTTCATGACATAGTGGATAAGCACCACGGCCTGAGATCGATTTTTTTAAGCAACTTTCGCGCGGGATGGGTGACCTAAGTCTAATTCCTAAGTCTATGACAAGGTTGGATAGTTCACAAAAAGAGAGGTAATCTCACAGAAAGAGAAGTAATCGACTTGGTTTACGTTGATTTCATAACTTTTTACGACAGGAGAATTGCTTTGTGAGATTTGTGCATTTTTGTACATGTTATGTTTTTATGGGCTAGCATTTTCTTGAATAAGTACATTTTGAAATAAGTATTATTTATCACTTTTTTAAGTTTGAAGTAGGTTCTATTTTTTTAAAGTTTTTATTTCATACTTTTTAGTGATATTGATATTTTAACATATTAAAATTTTCACTGGCTTTCCGTCAGCGGCTTCAGCCGCGTGACCCCTAAGGAACTGTTTATTATACATACGGATATAATTACAATGACCAATTGAATAGTAAACAATCGTTACTATGATAACGTTTTCATTCCATATACAAACTTCCACTCCCATTTTCATTTCTTATTTGCTGTTTTTCGGGGTAAAATATAGCCTATGCGGTCAGCATATGAAGTAGCTCTATTCACCAATTGACATACATACTTCCAAAAGGAAAAAAAAAACAATTTCAAAGGACAAAGGACAAAGTAGTCGTATGCCACTGCCCATAACAATACAAACTGTTGTGGCATACTACGCTGTCCTTTGGTCATCGCTATTTTAATAAAGCTATCGCTATAAATTTCTAGTTTCAAACTTTTTAGAGTGTGGTTTAGCTGTAGCCGGGTTTTAGTTTTTCAACTTATTTTTATATTTAATTTTCGGGTATATATTTGAATTGTGCTAATTAAGCCCTTTCATTTGATACCTACCCATTAAATGAAAATTAAATATATATGATGAAAATTAACAATATCAAGAATTATTAAATATATATATTTTTATATTGAATATATTTTTTTCGTTCTCTAGAGGGCGCTGTTGCCAACTTAATGTAACGTCATATAGCACGCGGACTACTAAGACACTTCTAATGATACCTCATTTGTCCAGTTACGATGAGTAGTCTCGAAGTGATAAGGGAACAGATGAATATTCTTACATACATATAGGTATACCAGCCAAAATCATAACCCTCCCTTTTCTCTTCGCTGTAGTCGAGCCAAAAACTATACATACTCCTTGAGTATAAAAAACCTCCTTTCGGATTTTGAATGAATTCAAAATACGCAATCTTTTGTTTTTGAAATGAAATGAAATTAAAGTATCTTTATTCAAGTAGGCTATTTATTTTAAGCAAGTAGGCACTTTTGAATCGACCAAAAAAATATTTTTTCCCCTACACTTATTCAGGACGTCTTTTAGCTGACAAGAAGAACAAGCGAAAGAACAAGCGTTTTTAGCTGAGATACTTGAAATACTAGACATATCATCATTTAAATATTTAGGTGATATATGGTGAAAAGTGTATTTTGATTTGATATAAAAGGAAAAGTACAGATTCGATATCGATAAAATTTAGATGGGACCACCACAATAATTTTGAAAATCGGTCAAGAATTGGCGGAAATATCGGTGAACATACATAAAAAAAATACCTCGGCGTCGAACATATAACCTCCTCCTTTTGGATTTTGAAGTCGGTTATAAACAGATGTAGAAGTATGATGTTCTTAAAGTTGTTAAGAGAAAGAGAAAACAAATAGAGACACTAAATACAAATAAGTAAAATCTATGCTATGACTGTGGCTTGTTACATAGATACTCATCATCGTCCTATTAAAATCCCCACTGCTGGGGCACAGGTCTTCCCTATGGACGAAGTCGAATAGGGATAATTGGCCATGACTCACCACGCGGGCTTAGTAACTATTGGTGGTTGCTAACGTCTGCAGATGCACCCGTAACCAACTGTTCAAGCTCCTTCAGAAGAACGGAGGACCTCGAGATAATAAATTGTAATTGACCTATCCCATGATCGGCCCTTGCAAAAGTTGCCTGACTTCCTCATACAAGCCGAACGCGTAAACTAATGCTTCATCGAGATGATCTCGATGAAATAGAGACTTTTAAAAGTATAATAATAACAGTATTAAATGTTGTAATAATATATTTATTTTAATAACCTAAACCATATTCGCGCCTATTGGACATACAAAAACAAAGTTAATAATAAAAACAACACAAGTTTGTAATTAAGTAATGGTTGTTATGAAGGAAATGAAATGATTCACAATCCGTAAATTGAGCTAATCACAACAACTGAGAATAGTAAGTAGTGGAATTCTGCAGCAATTATTCAATCTAAGTTTTTGTCTACGGCCTTAACATTATAACAACAATGGAATATGGACACAATAGTGCCGTTTCCCGCGTCTCTTATGCCTTGTTATACAAGATCAAGCATTTCATTAAAATTGCAATAGCAACGAACGAGGAAGAAAAACCGAAAGCTCTCCAATCTCCAACTCGCATTCTCTTCCGCTTCGCTTTGTGGAAATAGAGCATTACTTTTGTATCTTGTTACGTCCGACTTTCTGTTTTGCAACATGGCAATGAAATCAGTTATCAGGTTACAAATGTAATGTCAATCGGTTCGAACGTATTTACAGACCTATATTAGAACGTGCGTATATGTTGGAATAAAGGTATGTTGAAATCTAATAGAAATAACACGATTAAAAATGTATTATTGAGTAATAATATAGCTAACACAAATTTTCATACCGTGAACGTTATTTGTAGCTATTTTGTCTCCAGCAATTTGTCGGTAAATCCCAAAAGCAGGTGCAAGAGGTGACCGGGAAACACGTCGCTGCATTGGACGACGGCGGGCATCCACGACTGAATACGAATTTTTGACATCAGGATTACGTGAAGGGGTCGCTAACACTTCTTCCGCAGGAGAAACATAGTACTTCAATTTCCCATCATCTAACAAATTTTGGAGACTGACGCCGTTTCTCATTTTGTATTTCGCCGTTTCGTTTCTCTTGACAGGTTTAATAGTCAAATTGTCAAAGCTTTTGCACGGCGATAGGACGTTATTATTCCTAAAGTCATAGTAGTTCTTAGGATCAAAAACACTGATTGTGGGGCAGTGGTCCACTATTATATCAGGAGTCGAATATTTAATGTAATCACAGGGCCTGACGGAGCATGGATCTGGATAATATCGGCCATTACGATGTTTTATATTCTTCATATTTCTTTTTATCATAGATGCCCTTCCTTCGATGTTATATAGAACGCCATTTGATTCTAATACCCCTAATGGACTCAAACCATTTTTGTAAACCTGATAGCTTCTCTTATTTCTTCGTTGGTTATGGTTATCATCATGGATGAAACTTTCGTCGTAATGAGGCATTATATAAATTTCTATCAATAGATTTACCTTTAATTCTATTTTATTTATTTTTCAAATGACCTTGGCAATATTTACTATTCTAACATCACGAAGCTCCATTATATGGATATCAAATGTGGTTACAGCAGATTTGTAAGATGAACATAAAAGTCATATCCAATCTTGACATTAATAAAAAAATTAACATGGGTATTTAGTTATTTTCTAAGTCAGCTACAGAAATAGTATTGTATGTACAATTAGATCATTATTTTATTTACATTGAACGTCATAGCTCTACCCGTCATATTGCGCATGAGCGGCACGGGCATGTTCTGTATAAATTGATGTCGAATTCGCTCCAACCTTGACACTAAGAAATGGTCACAGTTATTAATTTAAGAACAAATACATTTTTTTCCACTTCAATATGACGCAAATGCACTGCACTAATACTGTCTAATATTTTATGAAATATTACGTTACAACACCTCTAATATTCACATTAGACATACTCGAAATTTTAACACAGGAATTCGCAACTTTCTCTATGTTCTCAGTTAATTTCGGATATAGCTGATTTCACTTCAATCGTAAACTTTAGAGACATCTCGAGAGATCACGTAATGAACGCGAAACACATCCAACATGTTGTTGCCGCGCCGTAACACCGGGACACATAAAACAGATTTAGTACCAAAATGATTCGTGAAACATGACCGAAGTGAGGACAAGGCGAAACTAAAAATATCCGTCAGTTTTTCACAACATTATCTCGACATTCAGCAAAAAAAATGAGTAGGGTGCTCATGCGCGACGAAACTTAAGACACAAGGTGTTGATCAGACGCTGGGCTCGCGTTTGCGCGGTGCAAACGGTGCGGCTGTCAGCTATGGCGCGGCGGCACTACGGCAGGGCGCTGCCGCCGCGGCTGCTGTCACACCGGCGAGAGTGAAAGTGTTGCTCCACCGAGCATCTCCGCCAACTACGCCCGTGCACACCTGTCCTGATAAATGACCGATTCTACGCTAATATGCGATCGTTACCTAACACCCGTAATCACTTCCTACACGCCGTAAGTATATATTTTGAAGCATCATAAGGCATTTGCAACATCTGACGAAATATGCGTTCGTATACCTTGGGTGCAACGTTACGTGACTAAAACTGTGCAACAGTGAACTAAATTGTAGTTTGGCACGAAAACAGATCGTCATTCATTGGTGCAACTGAAATACTTTTCAGAAAATCTGACAAAAGAAAAAATGCACTGTGCAGAACTTTAAATAAGGCGATACAATAATACAGATGAATTTACGCAGTTTCTAAAACACCATCAATTAGATTTTCCAAAACCCTGCTGCAGAAGTTATAAGAATGAAGACAGTGAAATCAAGTTTCATACTTGAACCTAACATTAACATTCATATATGGTTTAGTAGAAGTAAGTAAGTGTGCTAAAGATCTGTGTCACTTGACCATTAGCGGTTAACACCAGGGCTACATGCAATAGCATCTGTGAATTGTCTGTTAAATGCTACAAAACACGCTATTCGTGTTTGTCACGAACTGTTCAATCTATTAATGAAATTGATAAATGATTAATAGTCTCGATTTAACGATAAAAACATCAAATCATTGAATACTATAAATAATTAACATTTAATTTGAAATACATAATAAAACGTTATAACTACTCCTGAAATAAATTTCGAAATGATATGAAATTTTATAATACAATATTATTATGAGTTATTCAGAATAGATTACTAAAGAGATGAAAACCACGAAAGATTGCAGAATTGACGTAATGCAACAATAATGACAGGCAATTAATCTACTAGGATAAATTAAAGTTTTTCTCCTGCTGCATAGAACACACACAGACACGCCATCACCGGCCACGGTCCATCCAACTCACTTTCCAATAAACTAGCCAGTATCTTGATACCTAACGGGATTGAATGCTCTATCTGAGCAAGCCTGACCATTATTACAGTCTGTACATGAAAGGAGCATTTAAACTAAGTCCAAGTTAATTCTCATAGCAATTATCTCATTCAACAATCGGGTCAACAACTAATAAACATTAACCATTGTATAATGGTTTGATACAATTACGAAAATTAGTTTCGCAGTTCTGAAGGATTTTCTAACAAATAGGAGAAAATTACGAAACTAAAGTTCACAGCATCGTGCTCAAAGTTTGCTAAATGTTGCGACGGCAAAAGAAAAGTCACGAAGAAACTTAATGACAAAACGAATAACATTACATTACAGATAAGGCCAGCCGTGGCGGTGCCGCGTCGTGAGCAAAGAGGAATATGAAAAAAGACCATCACGTCTGAAGTCCCGTATTTCCTCGAAGAAAAACTAAATTATAACGATTTTCTACTGTACAAATTGTTTTAAATGTAAACTCTGAAACTGCATCAATTCAGAAAACGGTGTGAACTTTATGATAGCAGATGTTAAGTAATTATTTCACGCCTATTAGCGAGTTCGTCTCACGTTCACGGCCATAACAATGGTAGCTGTCAATCATATCAATAACAGGAAGGCCAGCATCGTGTGAAGCTTTAATGGAGACTCCCGAAGAGCTATTAAAACACAATATTGTATTAAACGAAGGTCAAAATCCTTTCAAGTGTAATTTGTCAATACTTATAATTGACCATAATCGACGCGTATTAAACTAATACGTTCTTTTCTCACGTTTTGCAGCAACGTTCATGAATAGCTCAGCTATTAAGCTATGATGGACAACCAACAATTTTCGGGAAACGCGTTCTTTCATGCCACTCAGAAAGCGCTTTTACTGTGAATATTATCAGACAAGTTTGATAGTTCCTGGTAATACTATCATTGAATGAACAAAAAAACTGCAATAGGTTCATTCTAAACATTGTTTTTCGTTCTTGCATATATAAAAAAAATAATTAAGGTTAACGTACTAGTATACTTAGAAGTCTTGAAACTTACATAATATTATTAGAGAACGTGTTTGAACTATAAAATAAATAAATTAGATTTGGTCGATGAGATATTAATGCTTATGAAACAGTTACACAATCGTGCATTTTTGGCGTTATCGCAGATGGCAAAATACAATAGGAAAATTGCTATACAAATAAAGTTGCGTAAATTATCAATATTATGTAAATGCAATGTAGAAGCTTTATTATTATAAATTCTAAAATTAAATCTAAATCACAGTCAAAACCTGTGTTCCGACCTTTAAATTTTCTGACCCCGGGGCCCGATAACTCTTCATTATTGCAAAATCGTTCGAAAACGACCTCAGACATAATTTTTTGTTGCCGGAATGTTGTTATTATATCACATGGTCGTGTACATCAAAAACTTGATTGTGACGAAGGATGGTGTAGTATTCCTTTCACTTTCGTTATCGTCAGTCAAATGAAACAAATTAAACACAGCATTCATCGTCGGATGTTCCAATCAGACTATTCAATCAAGGTCGTTATCATGTCACACACATACCCAACTGAAGCAATCATTGCGTCTCCAGTGACTGAGTAGAATTGAATTGGTGCACTCAAACAAACATTTGCATCGAATATGTTATGTAAATAACTATGTAATAGAGGCAACATGTGGTAAGTGCAAATGGGTTTCTTATAACGGGCCTCTACATTCAAGTTAACATCATAGATGACATTTACTAGGTTAAAATTAGCACATGGTGATTTCGATCTTTTGTTTTTTTTTTATTATAGCACTTCTCGTAGATCTTAAAACGATTTTTAAAAATGGGTCAAATATATCTAGGCCTCGTGAATTATTAATCACGTGAAAGGCTAATCTCTAAGCAATTGCATAAACCGCTTATCTTGGCGTACGCAATCCAAAATAATAGTACTAACTCATTATTTTAATGGATTGTAACAACTGAGTATTAATTTGTGGTACCTGCAGTGTTAGTTACAAGGTTCCTTTCGGATTGAGACCAATGAAGAGGTCATTGAAGGTTAACCTTAAGTGTTTAGTGGTTGCTTTCGGTTTGATGTTTTGTACTTCAGATATCCTTTTTAAACCGACTTCATTCGACGTCCAAATTCTGTCACAAAACTTCTAATCTCAAGAAATCAAATTTATAATTAATTCAGCTCCAAAATCTTTACAATACAAATACTTACAAGGATAAAAAAACGAAATATGTTAAAACACGCAAAGATAGATAAACTACTATCTACATCTTTTTTTGGAAACCTCAGTGCGCAAATTAGCTGGAAATAATAATTTTTTGGTCACCCATCCTATAACCAGCTTTTAAAGAAGACATTTGACCTTCGTGATCGCAAATTGAACGTGTTAACACTACGCCATTGAGCTCACCATTACAAATAATTAATTGTTAAGATCATTAATATCATATAATTATTTTATGCAATATACCTATAGCCCAGCACGTAGTCGTGAAATAGCGGAGCAAGTTCAGTCATAGTCCCGTTATAGTGCCACAGATCGGCGCTGTAGATGAAACAGGGTATTGCCACTAGCAACCATTATAATAATTTCAACAGCAATGACATTTTTAGGGAATTGAAGAATTAAGTATAGCACCTTTGCATTATTGCAGACTAAGTAAATCAACAATAAACTATTTTCAGGTAGCAATATGATGAGATTATTAAAAAATTTTGATTATCTTTTATCTCATTTCGTATAACAAACACAACCCATAAGCTTCGGATGCCCTATAATATCAAGGTTGAAAGTAACATAATTAGACTATGTCAGTTAACTGCAATAAAAGTTTATGGCCGCAATCACGTCCAGGCAGATCCGTGACTACGCGGTCAAATCAGCGAGTAACCCTAACGATAGATTAAAATACGTTTTTTCTAAGCATTATTTAGGTCATCGTATGGTATTATCATAGTGACTTCCTGACTTAGCATTATGCCAGACAAAGTTTGTAAATGATATCATTTTTGAGTCATTATTAATTTAGCAATCCTTCTATCATTATGTGATATCTAATACTAATAGTATAAAAGGTAAAGTTTCTAACTTTGTTTGCTTGTCGGGAATAATCTTCGGAAATAATTATCCTATCATGAAAGTTCTTACACTTACAGGAAACTACATCATGCGTGGGTGTCATAGGCTATTATTTACGTGGTCAAAGTTGCGGAAAAACAGCAAGTTGGATTCATAAATGTTTATCTACTACATTTAAATGAACATGTCACTCCAGGAAGACTTGAGCCGATTTAGCTAAAACTTGTTTTAACGCCATGAAAACTGTATTTCGGATTTTTCAAACAAACGAATGCAAATCGACAGGTGCAAGATGAACAGCTTGATGTTTCGGAGGATCTAAAATTTGCTGGAGGACACTAATAATAAAATCGCGTAGTACTAAAATAAGAATATCTGAGACGGAGAGAGTACCAGTTTTAAATTTAAAATTACTCTTAAACATTTTGAAACAACAAATTTATTTTTCATTTACAGTTTGTTTTGTTATGTATGATCATTGGCATATGACTAAGTTGTACTTTGGTCAATGCTATTATAACTATCGCTATAAAATAAACTTCTTATTATTATTATATTCAGAGTAACAGGAACAAAGCAGATTTTTTTAGTATGTTTCATTGGGAATAAATTTCTAGTTTCTAACTTTCTAAGGCGTAACTTAGTTCTAGTCGAGTTTTACTTTATGAACTTGTTTGTTTTATTTAATTAATTTTCAAGTGTATTTTAGTATATATATGTTCGCGACTACACTTAATAATATATTAGAAATGTGCTACACGGAATGATTGAATAACATAGGTATATTTTTTTAGTTTGTTACTTTATTCTCTCTAGAGGGCGCTGTTTGCAATTTAATATAACGTCACATAGCCTATAGCACGCGGACTACTAAGACGCTTCTAATGATACTTTATTTGTCTAGTTACGATGGGTAGTTTCGAAGTTATAAGGGAACAGATGAACATTCTCACATACATACTGGCCAAAATCGTAGCCCTCCTTTTCACTTCGCCGTAGTCGGGTAAAAATAGGTACTGTAGCTCTGTCTACCCTGCAAAAGATACGCAATACCTAGCCTTATACTGCGAACTTTAGTGACCATCCTTTAAAAATCTATCAAGAATATTAATTGGACATAAAATATTATAAAACATTTGAAATATATCCTGTTTTCCCGTTCTTTCGCCTGTATAAATTATAGACTATGTCAACAACGTAAACGTAGATGAAAGAAATATTAAAATCAGTCCAGTAGTTTCGAAGGCTATTCGATGCAAACAAACAATCAAAACTTTCGACTTAATAATATTAATAAGTCTATACTTAATCTACATATTAAGAAATAATTATTATAATATGTATGAGTCGCTTTAGGTCACTTACTAAATTCAAGCATAAATGTCTGATGGGGAAACTTACAAGAAAGCTACTTCAGTTTATTATCGGTGTTTTATTACTGATAAAAGAAAAAGAAGTATCACAGCCTATTAGTTGTAGTATTACGAATATATCGTGACAAAAATCACAAATGCATTTTATTTAATGACTTCAATAAAATCTAGACATTAATATATCGAATATCATCTGAAATTAACATAAAATACCCACAAGGACCATCAAGTGAATGTGTAATTCAAATAGCCCTATTCAGAGAGCCCAGTACCGTTAACAACGGATCTCAGTCTAGGCCACATTGCAACTTAAGTCTAATCTACGTCTACGGTTGTTCGTTTGCACTTGTCTGCCATTTTAGTATTAAATGTTGAAACATCTTAGAACACTTTTACTTCAGCCACTACACTCACTTGTCTGGCTTTAAGCGGGTTATTGGTATAGTGAGGAGGTTTATTTAATGTTAAAAATATTGTACATATCCATTTGTAATAAACTTACTTTCTTATTAAGTATAGCCGATACCACTTATGTTATTCGCGTTTGTTACAGCTGCCCGTAGGTGAAAGAGTTTTCAAAATAGGGGTCCAGTAGTTACGGAATCTATTCGATGCTAACAAACAATCAAATCTTTCCTCTTTATAATATTAGTATAGCCAAATATTAAATAACTTAAATCGGCTAGACTTTCTTTTCATCGATGAAAACTTACATACAGATACAGAAAAAAGGATTTTTTTTTTTTCAAGGTAAATCCGGCGAATAGACTACTATTATTATTTTACTGCTATTGCGTACTCGCCGTCGCTTTTCACTTCACGCACAATTTAAGTGCCTGTGGAAACACGTTAAAGAAAACTTTCTCAATTAACTAGAAACCGAACAGCGTAATATTTCAAAACATAGGTTGAGCAGCATAGATTATAACTGCACATCTGATTCTTACTTTTTTTTAAGAAGACGATGAAGATAGTAGAAACTACATGAATTTGCAACCATTGTCGACCTACTTAGGATAAACCACCATAGTATATTATGTAACCGCTTGTCTTCGCCTATTTACCGGCCACTCTACACAGCGCGACCGTGCAATATTGTAAAACGAACTCATTTAGGCCAGCTCAATCAACAACATATATCCATTCATTATTAAATATTAATTTAAAAAGCAACCTGTCCAATTTACTTCATAGAAAAACCAAAAGAAAGTGGTTTTCGAAACTAGATTTTCTCTACGGTTAATTAATAATACTAGTCCTAAAGACTGAGAGTATACTGAACAACGAGCCAAAGATATGTATATACTTAGGGAAAAATATTTATTAGAATACCTTCTGTGATGTGACTTCGTAAGTACCTTCGTCTTTATGAGGGACAACTAAATGTTTAAAAATCTGGGTTGAATTAGAAGATGACAGTGTGGGGCTTATGCAAACCACACTATTCCTACAATATTACTTCTATACTATTACAAAGTTGAAGAGTTTGTTTATTTGGTTGAATGTGATAATCTCAAGACTTCTAATTCAAATTGAAAAATTTTGTATTTGTGTTAAAAATTCCATTCATTGAAGAATGCTATAGGCTTTATAAAGCAATGAAAGAAGTTGCGAAAACGGGAATACTACGCGCGCGAAACTACGGGCACAAGCTAAACCACATAACTACATACTATAAAGCAAAGGCCACATATTAATTCTTGATTTAGCTTGTCTAGAGAATATGCCTAAATAACAAAGATACACCAGTTAACAGATGTGAAAACTGTTAAGATTCAATAAATATTCAGTGTTTATATTAGTGTTTGACCGGCAGGCAAAATTTGACCACAAAATTTAAACCCTTTGAAGATTTATTATTGGTTTCTTAGATTTTTGATTTGGCCTCTGGGACACTTTGAAAACAAAAGTGTTATAGGCATGATAGTGTGTCTTAAAGTATACTTTATTAATTTAGGGCTGTAATTCCCTAGCATTATAACTAAAAAAATGGCTTTTTATACTTTTATCATCAAATAATACTATGCTTTTTGTATTGAAGAAAACAAATTCATGGAATGTATATTGATGGTACCATTAAAAGATAATTAGTTAAACCATAACTTTTAGATATATTTAGTTTTAAATGTCACCTTAAAATTGTAAAATCTACAAGTATATAATCTACTTCATGAGTATACCTCAGTATCAGAGATGCAATTTGGTAGTTAACATTTTTAGAGATGAGTAAAAATATTATGATTTAGTTATTGGCATTTAATAATAATAATAGAATTATTTATTGTACAAATAATGGATACATTAGAAAGAAAGAAAATATATCAGCAGTGTAGAAGAAGGCAGCCTTATTGCTATGCAACAATCTTTTCCAGACAGGAGAGAGTTTATTTAGATGAGGCAGTGGTAAGCGAGGTTGGTCTGCAATACAGTTATTATTTGATTACCAAATATTCACTGCAGCTTCTACATGTTATGCAAAACATGACAAGCCATTGGTTGCAGCTGCACATGCAGTCATTAACACCAATTCGCACTGAGCCTGCATGGTAGGTGATATTCAATTCCATCCATCCCATGGTAGGTGATATTCAATGAGCCCGTTGGGACATTAATAGGCTGGTGGTGATGAATTACTTCCAAGGCCTGAGCCCGTCGGAACATTAACAGGCTGGTGGTGAAGAATTTCATCCAAACAACCAATGGTAATACAGAAAAAAAGGATAAATAACTATGATAAAGGAATTGCCTCTAGTTTAATAAAAGCACAAATTTATTATTTATTTTTACCCATCTCTAAAAACGTCCAGCTACCAAATTGCAACTAACAGGGTCTACTCATGCGTAGACCCTAGTAAGCTGTCGAAACATTGTGATCTGAAATAGGCTGCTTACAATTACCTATTCCTTTTTAGCCACCTTTATTGGGAGTTCTATTTGATTTTGTTTTTATATTATGTAAGTTTTATCAATGAAAAAGGTTTAAAGGGTTGATCTGTAATTTATTACTTAAAGCAAAAATAAATTAGGAACTTATGTTTCTTTTACATAAATTTTACATATTTACAGAACTTAAGTCGTAAACATTTTTTACGAAGTTTTGTATAAATGAACAAAGTTTGATTGTACAAAATCGTATTCATATCAACACTAACTAAAGAATGTAAAGAGTTAGCTTCTCATTGATAGCCTTTAGGATTTTTTGTGTTCTATAATAGAATACATGTTTAGCAGATTATATGATGGTGCAAATCCCTTATTTTTCAATACTATTGCTCAAATACTGGTTGGATATTAAAATAAGTTTATCTGTAGTTAGATTAAATACATAAATATGATGCTATAGAGAGAAATATCAAAAGAAATAGATTCTTAGGCACAACTTACCTTGTCCACATTTCTCAGTCTTGGGAGTGGAAATCATAGTGTTTAATTAAACTAGCCGTTATGGCATATTCACACACGTCACTGGGATTTTTTAAAAACGATACAAAAAGGCTTTGTTTTACACCAAAAATATCAATAAATGTTAACCCGACCGGCAGCCATGTTTAGAAACAATTTGCGATTTTGTGGCAGGCATTTGAGTACTACTTACGCCATCTAGAAATTTTTATAAACTAAATTAAAAATATTATTGCTATAAAATCAGACTAGATGGCATTGTCAATCTCTAAAAAAAAAAGGTAGTATCATAAAGTCACCACCAGACATGTGCTCAATAAAGTCGATGGAAATACACGCTTGTAGTTTGCCATTGTTCGGTTTTTATGTCTACATCAAGACAACTAAACTTCAAAATTTGTGCGTCTTGCCATACTTGATAAAGAGTGGGAAGTCGTGTTAATAATGAAGTGATGATATTGTTATTACTTAAGCTTCTCAAGTTGAACCATCAATATAATGACCGAAAATCAAAGAGTATAAAAATCATTAGTGACTAAAAATAAAATGAGTAAAATAAAAAAAAATTATGAAACTACAAAATTTATGTCACTAGATGGCAGCACTCGGATCTAAATGTCAAATCATGACGTTAAACCAAAGAAAATAGAATTATCAGTGTTGTTATAGATCTGATAAATTAGATTAATATCGAGTTGAATTTTAATTACTTCGAGTTATGCAAACGCAACTCGATTAATACGAACTAATCTTTAAATAAATTTATTTTTTATTTGTATAAAGAAAAATGGAAACTCACATAATGGAAGTAAGCATAGAGCCTTCTATTATTTTCCATAACTTTAAAAAAACCCTTTTTTTAAGTTATGGAAAATAATAGAATTAATGCTGTGAACGACTTGACTTAAGTAAAAATAGTACCCGAATCACATCACTAAAAGAGTCAATATTACTAATCTGTGACCCAAGATTTGGCTGTATAGCTTAGTTCCTTCGCCTGTCCCATAGACGAAATTACTAATACTACTTACATACTACTCTTTGCTACTTACTAATCTGTGGCCAATAGAGTTTTCGGAGCGATTTACTACGTTTCTTCACGTTTGGGGAATCGGTGTGCGTTTTGTGTTGGTATTTTGAATGATGTAGTTGTGATGTAGCTTGTAATTACTTTAAAAAATATTCATGACAAATTATTCGCGAAAGGTGAAATATATATTTTATTGTGATTAAAAACCAAGAAATACATTCGACCTAATCATGGCGGATCCACTGAGCTTACTTCGCCAATATAATGTAAATAAAAAAGAAATAATTGAACGTGACAATCAAATAATATTCGGAGAATTTTCTTGGCCAAAGAATGTTAAAACTAATTATCTTATGTGGGGGTAAGTGTAAGCATAATTTTGCATTTAGATTTTTGTTTATGTTGATTGCGTTTATAAAACATTCGTTTTCGTTTTAGATCTGGTAAAGAAGGCAGTGTTAAGGAGTATTACACGTTGGAATGCCTTCTTTTTATACTTAAATACATAAAATTATCACATCCAGTGTATGTCAGGCAAGCAGCAGTAAGTAAACTCGTTTGGTATGAAAAACAGCTGTCAAACAAGAGTCAATTTCTTGTTTATCTCATCTTTGTATTTTACTCAGGCGGCGAATATACCTGCTGTACGTCGTCCAGATCGTAAAGAACTACTGGCTTATTTAAATGGTGAAACGGCTACATGTGCTTCGATTGATAAAAGTGCCCCATTAGAAATTCCTACTCAGGTAAATTGCAAAGTAGTTGTTAAGAATTTTGTGAAAATTTATTTATTTACTGCTAATGATATAACAATTTTCCCATTTACCTTTACTTGCACAGATAGATCAGATGCTAGCTAGACACTCAGCAGTGTCTCCAGCTAAGTTCAAAAGGAACTGGCAATGCTATGTGTTATATTACATAAACCATTTCGAGCTACTGTTTATCTATTTTTAACTTATAAATATATGATCTACATACAGAGAATTTGGCACTTTTCTTAAAACTTTGTAAAGTAATTAAATTTTATTTAATCCAGATTTAATGATTATTTATATATTAACTTTAAAAATTGACATTGTTATCACGAACTGACTCACTCATCAAAAACTTAACCCACTTCCAGATGATCTGGAAACTATATTACGCACAATTCCTCTTATTTCATGTGGATAGCCCACTACATGATAGGGATTCCATTTAACAATTTTGGAAAAAAAGAGTAATATGTAAATAAAAATTACTAAATATTTCCTCTGTTGATTTAATGAACATGAAACAAAACAGTACATTTTATCTCATGCACCATGTAACACAACACATTACATAGACAGGCATATCCATATTTCATGTGGATAGCCCACTACATGATAGGGATTCCATTTAACAATTTTGGAAAAAAAGAGTAATATGTAAATAAAAATTACTAAATATTTCCTCTGTTGATTTAATGAACATGAAACAAAACAGTACATTTTATCTCATGCACCATGTAACACAACACATTACATAGACAGGCATAACATTTTAGTAAGGGGGAATTATGGCATGGTTCATTTTGGGACATTTTGTGGGAGTACATCATACAGGGAATACTTATGTTTAGGACACTAAAATTCTGTGTTCCGCAGATCCTTTATCTAGGCTGCACTCACAAAAGGAATTATTAATCTTGGCCAAATTAACTGGCAAGCTTGAGTGACCAATGTGGAGACGACATAACACTGATATGACCTGTTTGGAATATGTTTCTGTATAACATACCAAGGTTTTGTTGGAATAGTTAGTTGGATGTCAAAATAGTATCTTATTTTTATTGTTTTTTCAATGTGTCTCTCACTATTGCAATAAATGGCAACAACTGAGAGGGATATGTAAGTTCAGAATGGTCAGTACAACCAGTGGTGATTGCACTCTGGGCACAAGAATCAGCAAATTTTGTTGATTAATTAGAGTCCCATGTATGTCTGATTAACCTCTAATTATTCTTTTAATTTCATTTCATCATTCATGATTCTGCCCTCACTAGACTCGTAAGACAAACCAAAATAAAAATATTAAGCAATAACACCATAGTCACCAAGAATCACATCTGATATTTGCAGTTATAATAAGAGGGTACAGCATTTGCAATTCTGTATGAAAATTAAAAAAAAAATTGTTGATGTGCATATTTTCAAATATTAATTAATATTTACTAGAACATAATTTGTGATGGGATTATTCCTACCCACTCAAGTATGAAAGTAAGATCACAGAAATGAAGTAAAATTATAATTTCTATACTAAAAATAATGATATCTCATCAAAAACATTAATGTGAAATGACGGCATAGAGCCAATATTGATTTATGTATTTTTTCTTAATTTCATTGACAAATTGATTAAAGTCTATATGTGGCAAACAACAAACGAAATATATCAACGTTATATCCTGTCCAGTACAAAGGAATAGGGTTAAAAATGGCAGTCAAATCTTGAGTCTGAATTATACCTCGTGTGTTCGTAAATTTTGAGACAAACTTTTTACTGAAAAAATAAAATGTTTTTGCTGTTATTTCTTTTTGCCGATTTTGAATTTTGAATGTTAACTCTTAGTTTATTTGTTTCGCAAATTCATTTGTTTATATTTTCTCGTGATGGAGGTAACGAAACAATTACGTGCAACTATCATTTCGATATTTAAGGCTGGAAAAAAACCAATGCAGACTTTCCATGAGCTGAAAAGTTTTCCTATAAGCCGTAACTTCGTCTATTACACAATACAGCGGTACAAAGAGATAAGTTCTCTACAAGATCGCCAAAGGAGTGGTCGGTCACGCTCGTCGTCACAGAGCGTGACCGACCACTCCTATGGCGAACCTGCGAACATCAAAATCATCCGAGAGCGACTCCGCCGAAATCCATGTCGCACTCAAAAGAAACTAGCTCTGCAGACTAATATTTCGCGCTTTTTAGTGAACAGAATACATAAAGTTCACTTTTTAAACGATCGTCTGCGTAAGTTACAACGTGAATGTTGTCCATTGCTGCTGAGGAGACATGGTGCCAGGAAGATACTCTTCACTGACGAGAAAATTTTTACTATCGAAGTAAGTAGTCTCGCGCACTCATCATCCAACTAGTGTGATGGTATGGTGAGGAGTTTCGCATGAAGGTGTCACTCTGCTCCATTTCTACCAACAAGGTATCAACGTGACAGCCAAGAATTATCAGAGTGGCATTTTAGAGTCCGTAGTGAAACCCCTGTCTTATACGTTATTTCACAATAAGGACTGGGTTTTTCAGCATGACTCAGAGCCATCCCGTAAGGCATAAAGCACCCAAACTTGGTTGAGGGAGAATGTGCCAGCCTTCATCGCGGCGGACGAGTGGCCCTCCTCCAGCCCCGACCTCAACCCGCTAGATTATTCTTTATGGACTGAATTAGAGCTCAGAGCCTGCTGAAAGTCTCACCCAAACTTGGAGTCACTAAAGAGAAGCAAAGCGAATTCCAGTACAAAAGATTCGTGCCGCTATTAATGACTGGCCGAATCATCTAAGGGCCTGTATTAAATTCAAGGGCGGTTTGAATTTAATACGATTTTGAATTTTGAATAAAATATTCATTGTTGATTTATCTATTTAACGGTTACTGAAAATTTTTGAAGTTTAAATTATGAAAAAACTTACGCAACTTTTATTTCGTCTCAAAACTTATGAATACACGAAGTATACCATAAAAAGGCTTTTTTTGAGATCTGTATGACGATTTAATTGCAATAATATTAATGTCTGTAGTGAAAATTATGGCCTCCAGTTGAGTATTGCACTAATAGAGGAGTATGAAATTTGTAAAGTTTATTATAGAGAAGAAGTATAGAATGCTAAAATAATTTTCTATTAATGCTTTAATGAATAGACAGCAGGAAGTGTGTTTGTTTTATATCATGTTGAGATTTTTTTTTGCCGAATATCAACAATTGGGCGACTACTAGTTGTAGTAAATCTACAAAGTATTATGAATTTTTCAGGTAAAACGTACCCATGATCATGATGGTGTGGAATCTGCTGCTAAAAAACCTCGCATTGAGGAAACTCATGTCCAAAAAGTACGAGAACAACTGGCTGCTCGTCTGGATGCACCAAAAGAAGCATCAGTCACAGTTGACAATATCAAGTAAGAGTGATAATGAAAATTACAATAAGTCAATTAGTTTAGAATAATCAAAATAATGATTTGACAGTGTGAAGTTCATATTAATTAAAATTTATATTCTCCAGATCCTTATCAGAGGCTATGTCAGTTGAAAAAATTGCCGCAATTAAAGCTAAACGTTTAGCCAAGAAAAGAACAACAATTAAGAGTAATGATTACTCAGATACTCTTGGAGTAGTGGGTTCAGACTTGCGAGCTATCCTCGACTATGATGTTGATCTTACAAAAGATATTATCAGCCGAGAAAGACAGTGGAGGACTAGAACAACAGTATTACAGAGCAATGGAAAAGTAAGTTTACACAAACACGTAAGTTTACACACACATTCATTACAAAGTCGCTCATTTTGTAAGTGTGTGCAAAACTCAACACTCGAATACCTCAACCTCTTTTTTATCATTTTGCAGCGTGTAAAATGGTTTATTATATTATGAATAAATAACATGTCAATTACAGATGTTTGCTAAAAGTATTTTGGCATTGCTGGGCAGTATCAGAGCCCGTGAAGAAGGTAGACCAGGCATACCCAGACCTCAACCAGTAATTATGCCACAGCCTACCAATATACCAGCTCAACAAACACAGTACAACAGATATGACCAAGAAAGATTTATCAGACAGAAAGAAGGTAAATGTTTAATTACGAACAGTGGCAAAAATTGTTTGATATAAAAAAAACTGTATGCTTATGATATTTTTTGCTTTACAGAAACGGAAGGATTCAAGATTGATACTATGGGTACATATCACGGTATGACATTGAAGTCGGTGACAGAAGGTCCCAGTGTTCCTCTAGCGGCTCGTGCTCCACAGACCCCTACTCATCCACGTCAAATGTCTCGTAAGTTTTGTGGTTTCTATTATATTATCAGAATCGGAATCCTAACATTAATTCTTCATTGAATTGTAAATGTATATATTTATTCCATCTACAAACAATGACAAAAGCTATGATGGATCTGAAATATCTAATAAAGATATAAAATTTTAAAAAACATAATGCTTTTATTATTATTATTATGAATGAAAATGCCTGTAGTGCCCCAATTTTGTGGGCTCTGCATATTTTCCCAGACCCTAATATGGTGCAAAGATAGGCATTTTTTAAAATTCTAGTCTTTTTTTAAATACTTAAAATACATCTTCTTCTACCTACGGGCATCTACGCAACTTGACGTCAAAATTGCGCCTATTTGAACTATACGTAATTATAAACAGAATTGAACAAAATCATTATTTTCTAGACTTCTAAAATTTTTTTGCTCCATTTCATTACATAAAACGTTCTAGGTATGCGCATTTTGATTTACGGAATCTATTTTTTTTTGTTCACGATCTAACGATACGCTAATAGGACAATACTTCATTGAACAGGTATTATGAGCCTATTTGATTTTTTTAGAGAACGGTTCGATGCCGAACAGTACGCCAGGGCGACGTGAACTATTGCCCGTGACGGCGGCGCGACCTCCGCCCGGCGCCGGCGGGAAGAGACCGTCGCGCACACCCATCATCATCATACCGGCCGCCGCCACCTCCCTCATATCCATGTTTAATGTTAAAGACATGTTACAGGATCACAAGTGAGTAGGATCATTGTGTTACAATAACTTTATTATAAATAATATTGGTATATGCATACATGTGAAATTTATACAGGGTTATTTTTAAATCACCAGCTAGTTTGCAGGATAAGATGGCTAACATCTTAACAACAACAATCAATATACGAGTTTAACCATAAATGGGCCATTAGATAATCTATCTGCAAAGTTGCGGATTAATGACAAAAATCAAATTAACCTTTATGCAGTTTATTATTGTAGCTAAATATTACCACATAGATAAATGCCATTTTTTTTAGACAGTATTCATAGATTTATACAGTTTAGGCAGCGTTCAGAAAAACATTGCCCATCGCGGTATTCCTTTAGTAGGATAAAAAGTAGCCTATATGTTAATTCAGACCAAGAATAACCTATATATCAAATTTCATCAAAATCCGTTCAGTAATTTTCGCGTGAAGAAATAACAAACATCCAAACCTACAAACTTTCGCCTTTGTAATATTAGTAAGAATAAGATTAGTAAGACTGTCGAGTTCAACATGATAACTAGAGATTCGATAGACAGAAACCGATGGAGACGAATAGTCCAATCCAAATCTAGATTACTCCACGATGCCCAATATCCACAATAATGAAGAGCTGACTACATAGATGCAGTTATGAAGCTTGTATTAAATAAAGTATTACACATGATTCGTCTATCTGAGTCAAAGTCACCCTCAAAAGATTATCAGTGTTAGCTCATCGAATGGGGATACTAATGAATTGGAGCAAAATGCCTACATGTCCTTCGGTCACCTGTAAATTAAAAAAGGAGAATAGCAGTTAAAAATTATAATATGTTATTTCCCTTAGATTCGTACCAGTTGAACAGAAGAAAGCAGAAGGGGCAGTACGCGAGAACGAAATACTATTGCAACGAAGAAAAGGTCCTGCCGGCGACAATGTTCCCGCAACTAATGCGACAACCACAACTGTTAGTATACCTAGTTGTATTGTAGTTAACCGTTTAGAAATACCTTCTTGCTGTCCCACAATTAATTTTAAAAAACGATTTATTAATGTGTATGGTGAAAATAGAGATAATATTGCCAAGGATATTTTACAGTAACACTGCTTTCTTCATAATTCTGCTTATTAATGCTGCAGATAATCCTTGACGGATTTGATTTTAACAAAACTACAAGCATGATGCGACAATTTCCAAGTGGTTGTTCGAGTACAGAATATAATAAGTTCTGAGGTGTCATGATGATTTGTATGACTAGTATATTTTTGTGTGTAAATTTTATCTTTGGATCTTCAATTTTTGTCAATGATGGAATTTTACTTTATTAAATATTGTGTTTGCTTCCCAGTGGTTGATATATTATTATGTTTATGTATAAAGAAATTAAACAGAGATACAGATTGTGTTGTGATTTTAGTGAATCGAAAATGAATATTAATGTTTCTTGTATAGGTGCCTTACCGAGTAGTAGATAATCCTAGTAGACTGTCAGCTGCAGAATGGGATCGTGTGGTCGCCGTGTTCGTACAAGGTCCCGCTTGGCAATTCAAAGGGTGGCCGTGGGATGGGAATCCCGTGCAGATATTCGCTAATAGTAAGTGGGATTATATGAAATTGTCAAATTTTTGTCAATCAAGTATAATAATAATAATTAATTAATTAAAATATATTAAAAAAATATAAGTAGCTCGGTGGCGTAGAGGATAAGCGCCGCGGCCCGCGATCGTTGTTGTTAAGCAACTTTCGCAAGGGTCGGTCACGGGATGGGTGACCAAAAAAATTATGACCTCGAGCTACTTCGTGCTTCGGAAGGCACGTTAAGCCGTTGGTCCCGGCTACATTTACAGTCGTTAGTACTCACCAATCCACATTGGGCCACCGTGAAGGGTCATAGCCCATCCTCCTTAACCTTATGAATGATGAATTAAAATATAGTTTGATAGAGGTTTTTAATTAGAACCCCTTACAGGACACAAATTCCACTTCATTATGGCTCATAAAATCTGGTGTTATTACGGAAATTTCTCTTTTTTCAGTTTGCGCGTTCCATTTGAAGTATGACGAGATGAAGTTGGACGCGAACGTGGCCCGTTGGGCGGTCACCGTTCTCAACCTCAGCCGTACCAAACGGCATTTAGACCGCGCCGTATTACTCGGATTTTGGGAGACACTCGACAAGTATGTATCGATTTGTTTTATTTTATTTTGCAAGGCTTGGTCGCCCTAGGCCATTTAGTACTAGTCCTAGTCGCCCCTTTTTCAGTTCCCTCCCATAATTAAGGGGAGTTCATTAGTTCGCTAAATATATTTTGGGTTCATTTGACTTTATTTTTATTAACATTTACACGACTTTATCAAGAATTAATAAAGCATGTTTTCTAAATTATATTGTGGTGTTCTAAATGTGCGACAACTCTTTATACTCCACACGGTACTATTACAACATAAAAACACTCCATATAAAGAAATAAGCAAACGTCGTAAAGACAAAATATGCACCGTACCAAAACCACGCACATCTTCCACAAAAAAATTTTTTTACTACTTGGGCCCATATCTATATAATAAAATCAGCCTGAACTGCTCAATATATGGCTCATCACACTACATATGCAAAAAAAGACTCCAAAACTATCTCCAAAATAAAACCTACGCTGAAACAGAGGATCTTATGTTATAACTTATATCATCTGCAGCCTGACATATGAACCCAGACACAATCTCACACACACACAAACACAATACTAACACTTGCATGCTTAATTGTAAAAAAAAAAAAACGCAACTTGCATATGTATAACATTAACTAATGTAAATCCAAAGGGAAAGGGACTGTTATACCTTACTACAGGTTATTATATAACCTATCAAGGGTAGCAGTACTTCATCCACTTAGATTGTAATAATTGGTTATTTGTCTATTGCTATTGTTAAGTATGTACCTACTACAATCTCTTTTTGAAAATAAAGAAATTATTTATTATTATTATTATTAAATTGGTCCCTCGTTAGACCAACTCCACTCCAGACGCGTCCCTATTTTATGACTTCGAGTTCAATAACAATTTATAAAAAAAGTAGTTCCTCTTCCGCACAGCTTACATCTCGGAGTTGGAGCGCAATACGAAGATGGTTGTTTAAAATTCCTATTCTTATTTGGCTCGCATAATAAATCTAACAACTCCTACGAAACCGAACGTACGATCAAAATTTATAGTTAGACTTATTACAATGAGCATTATCTGAAAAATACTATGCAATAGCTGTCGGTCTCACTCTCGGCAGATACATATTAGTGGTACGTTCGATCTTGTGATAATAGGGAATATGCGTCTGATTCAAAAAAGGGTTACATATATTTTATTACAATCGTTATTGCTTTAGAATAAAGTCTATCTAAATATTTTTCAACATTAGTTCGTTTTCTTCTTGAAAATAATTATTAAAAAGTGCAAAGTAAATGCGGTAACTTTAAAATATTTAAACGCCATGCTACTTGTCATAGCGAATGTGACGAAAATGTACACGTATAGGGATGTCGTTGTTACAAAAAGTTAACATCAATGTATTATGTCGCAAAATAAACAACTGATTACAATTTAAATGATGTTTTAGGCTTTTATTTTTATTTCACCAATTTGGTAAATTATTTGATTTATTAAAAAACTTTAAAAATCGATTAATTGTTAATTGATTTGGGTAATTGAATAATAATCAATGACTCAAAATCCATATTGATTTAAAGTGTCATATCTGTAGTCGTGTACGTCACGACGAGCGCGCCAAAAATTCCTATGTTTAAACTGCTCTTCATCAATGATTAATGTTACAAAATTTTAGTTTTTCGGTGCCGGGTATTTTTTTTACAGTTATATATCGATGTAAATTATTATATAAAAACATTTTCCAAAAATTTGCATATTCCCTATTGAATATTGTTTACACATTAATAATATTTAGAATCTTTAATTTCGTTCTAGTTGATACGATAACTAATGTGCTCACTACTCGTAATATTAATATTTTTCCTTGACTAATAATTATACCCGGAAGTCATGTATTTATTTAATTGGCTATAGGGAAGAGGCACCAACCTCGATATTATAGTTACAATATCGCATTAAACTTTATTTGGCACTATTTTGCAACAGTACATACTCTAATTGCATCTGTAGAAGCGAATATGAATGTCGTTTTTTAATGATACTATTTTGTTTCAGGCACATGATGAAGAATAAACCGCATCTTAGGTTTTAAGTCTGTTGTAGTTACATATGAATTTTATCTTATAGTATATTGAAATTATAAGGTGTGAATATCTTAAACTTTTCAAAAGCAAAGCGAATCTAAGTCAATTCAGACCATCTAAAGTATATTTCGGCCATCCGTCAGGACCCACCTAACATGTAATATTTGATTCTTAGATACGTGTACTTTAGTACTTTGTTCCTTTCGAAGTTGTTTTAATTTAAGACTACATTAGATGACGTCCTGATAATTTTAGTGTTTATTTTAAGATGTGCAATTTTATCTGTTCTATATGTGTTAAGTATTTAACCAAACCGGCCCAGTGCAAGCCAGAGTTTCGCAGAGAAGGTTATGTGGAAAAAAAATGTTTAAAATCATATTATATATATATTATAACAATAGGTTTATCGACAATACATATGATTATCTGTGTTTTTCCCAAACGTTTGAAGATAGAGGATGGGGATAAGGTTTCACTTATTATCTTAAATGTCTTCAAATCGCTATTGAATCTTAACATAAAGAAACTATTAATATATTATAGTCTGTAAAACTTTATTTCTAATTTACTCCTTCCCAAATTCATGATTTGTAATTCAAGTATTAAAAAAATAAGCCATAATTTAATGAAGAACATATGCAACGAAAAATGCGTTTTATTCACACCTAGCAACAAGGTACTGAATCAGAAATTATTGATTAAGCATGAAACAAGATGGTTGCCGCTATTTATATATGTATCTATTTAACAAAGAAAATTTATTTTATCACATACTATAATGTCCACGCTTATAAACTATCTTAATTCGACATACGCACATTAATTTATAATAAAAATTGACATCAATTTAATTCGAATGTTCTATATTTAGTTAGCTTTAGTTATTTTCTAGATATTAGATGTAAAAAAATACTTATATACTTATGACAGGAATTCGTCCTTGTGGCGAAGAGAATAAGGCACATGAAATGTCAAAATTGTATATATGTTTTTAGACGTGGCTGTACAATATCTTATCTTATTTTTGTTTTGAATATTTAATTATGGGAACATGAATGATTAGGTATTTACATATGCCCAGTTTAGTATTATCAAGATATAAATATAGATTGATTTCATTGATTAATAACATGCTGTTTATTTGTAAATAGTACAATATTATCCTAAACGTGGCCAATATGCTTTATATGGTTATGAAATGTTCAAAGATCTGTGATCTTTGTTTTTTTCACAACAATAAATTGTTGAACATAGACTTTTTTTATTTAGTATGTAGTATCCCTACTCGAGGCACCCATGATATTGACTGATTATATTGGAATTGTCCAGCGCCGCTGACTCAATGAAAGAATCATGTCCACTTTCTTTTAAAGATCGCGCCTACCTAGCATTAGTGATAATTTTAATTAGTTTTTGTTTAAAATAGAATAACAACTTGGCATCGTTTCATCTGGAGGCCAGGAGATTCGTAATTTTTTAATCTATTGGGGTTATAATAGCTGTCAAAACTCGAGATAATTGTGCAGCTACTTTAAAAATCAAACCTTTTTAAAGTTTGAGCTAATTAGCAAGTCGTCATTTTAGGATCCGAATCGCGTTCAGGTATTTTAAAATAACTATAAGCCTCGCAACACGTATCCTGAGTTTATTTTAAGATTTAATTTGCGGATATGAAATAAGTAAACTATAAACTACATTTTGAGATATATCACTAGACATGTTAGTAAATTTTTAGGTCAAAATTGGACATGATTCATTGGTGCCGGTGCAAAACTCTGGAACTTTGTGTCCTGGTCAAAACACTGGAACGACACTTATAGAAAAATCAACAAATAAAGGTTAAGCTAGTTACATAGGCACATTAAGTGTGATTTTGCCAATGAAAAAAGAAACGTAGTAGGCAGGGCTCGGAAACGTTATTCAAAATAACGTTTTTAAAACGTTTCTTATGGTTCTTTGGGCAAGATTGCGTTCGAAACGAAAACGAAATGAGAACGTTTAAAAAAACCGGTTTAATCCGCAAGACGGTGCCGCGCGGGCTGTAAGGGCGGCGTACATTTATTTTATTACGTTATTTACAGTATGCGATGCAAAAAAACGCAAAATAAATGGTTAAAAACGTTTTATTAACCGAAAACAATATAATTCTGTTTTTTTCCAAAATCGTTTTTTATATCGTTCTGTTCGAACGAAACCGAAACAAAGTGTTTTTTAGGTATTTAAGATGAAAACGTTTCGAAAAATATACCGGTTTCCGACCCCTGGTAGTAGGTACAGCATCAGTACCTACTAAGTTTTCATCCTAAATCCTATTCAGATCCTAAATTCAACATTACAAATTTTCGGACTATGTAGTAACAAAGGGCGAAAATTTTTAATTTTGAATATAAGTAATTTTTTATAGTACTGCATTTTTAAGTTGAAACAATTAGAGCAAATATAATAAATTGCCTAGTTTACCCATATGGGTGCGCCGGTCGGCTCTACAATTATCATAAGCTTGCTAACATTCCCGCTGATGGGGTAGAGACCTCAGATATTGCTTGAAATCAAATATATGTAAACATCTGTTATTGTTACATTCATACCGTCTTATAAAACCACAGAAGACCAGTACAGAAGAGAAAACGCCAAATTGAGACGTTACCTTAATCAGCCCCCTTACTACCGAACGCAATTACGTACGATCGACATTGCAATTGTGACGTTACGTACTCTTGGTACACTTGGTACATATGGGTACACTAGCGCCAGAGTATTCTAGTGAACCAATCAAAAGTGCGGAGCGAAACAATTGCAATTTCGATCGGTCGCGATTGCGTTCGATAGTAAGGGGGCAGGCCGGGTAGAAGTTTGTACACGTGTTTTAATAAGACAGATAGTGTTAACTATCAGGCACTATGAAGACTGATCCTTAATATTTATTCTGATTCCAGACGTTATGAAAGCATTTCGTGACCACAACATATGAGAAGAATATTAGATCGTAAAAATACCTTGTGGTTACCGAAATCCATGACGAAAATTAATTTGAGTCTAAAACTCAATAGAAAATATTTTCTTCCCAAATGTAAATTATTCGTTGAACATGATAGCTAATCAAAGAAAGTACGTAAGTAGTCATAATAAATAAAAAAACCTTGTATCATTTTTGTCTTTATTTAAAATTTTCATCTCATTTAATGGTAGTGTATAACAATAAATATTTCTGTTCTCTTTCAGAGATAAGGATATAGAAGTAGGTTATATATCATTGTTTGTCATTTGATATTTTTCATTCACAAAATAAAACAGTTTTACCCATAACAATATCACATCGTTAGAGGTGTGTACTTATTATGTGCCCGTAATTACGTTATTTATAATTAAAATCATTATTATCGATCAACTGATAGATTGTCTACTCACTTTCCTATGAAGGTACTCTGAATTACAACATTAATATCATAACAAAACATAATAGCAAAATTTAAAAAATTATCTCTGAACTTTATTTACAATCAATAAATATAAAAATATCTCCATTAAAATTACTTAGACAGCATCCTTCTGCCCCAGTAAGGAATGATAGGACCAAATTTTACCGGTCGCAAAATTCAACTGCCCGTACACTGTAAGTAATTGTTAGAAAAACACACTTAAGTCTTTAAAATGGGATAGACAACGCCTTAACTCCATTTCAATTTAATCAATTAAACATTATTTTGTAAACAGACTCATTTAAAAGCTCTCTCATTTTACACGATAGGTAGTTAACGATTATCATCTAATTATTACTTGTAATTTTTTGGAGGTACATACAAGCCTAAATTCGATTCTACCCCATATAATGTGAGATTACAACTGCAAACGTAAAATTATTCAAATTAAACTAATTCTTATATTTTCACGTCTAAGGTTGTCTAATATGAGAAGATGAACTACGGACTATGAGTTTAGCACAATCACTCATAGTGATATTACCAGTCAAACTGACGAGAATAGCCATATTATGGTAATACATACAAATAATATTACATGTAATTTACTGAAATTATATGAACACTTTAATTTCGGCTGAAAAAATTGATTTCTTTACTTAATAAAAATGTTGTTATCTTTTTTCTTAAACAAAAATATATATTATAAAATAGGCTATGCGAGTCTCGCTTTAGCATGACCACCCATAGGAATGATTCGTGCAAACTAATGAAATGAGCAATGAGTTTATCTAATCTAAAATTCACAAAATTTGCCAAATGGCGTTACAATAAAAACTATAAAACTTGTATAAATAAAGTAAATAATAATTTGTTAATATAATTTACAGTTACATTTTAACAGTTTTAATTACTGGTTATATATAAAGTTGAGGCTTTATTTGCTAGTCCAAATATTTTTAAATTAAGTCTTTCGCCCATTAGTAATATGACTTCTGCTTAAGGGATATCATTAAATGTACGCAACAGATACCAAAAAAGAAATTACAAATAACGACTTCTTGTTACCGAATGAAATTATAATCAATAAAATGTAAGTAAAATATTGGTATTAAATTATATAAATAAATAATTTTATATTTTTGGTGTAATACGATTTAAATTTTAAGGTGAACGCACAATTTATGCAATTTACGAACAATATAAATAGGTAGTCTTATTTTTTTGGCAACACATTATCGTCGAATAAAGTTTTGATGTTCTTACTTAATTTTTTTAGAGATTTAAGTCATTAAAAATATTAAGCAAAATTTAAGCAATTATCAGATATAACTAATTAAAAATAATTATAAAGTTTAAGCATTTATTAAAATTACTTGAGAAGATTTCCAATCACATTTTTTTACATAAGCGTTAAATTAATTATAGAACTTGGCATTGCCATGAAGTATATGCTTATAAGGCAAAGGAAAGTCTAACGAATACGTCTAATACTTAAACAATAGGTACCTAGTGTGTTATGCAAACCTTTATTTTTCTTTATTATTCCTTTTGTTTTATTTTCCCTTATCTTTATTTTCCTTTTTTCTTTATGTATGTATATTTTAATGTGCATTCACCTCAATTGACATAGACTTAAAAAAGGGATCTTAATTAAATATATTTTTCAGTCAAAACTATTTATAATAATAACAGATCAACCATGGTCGGCGAGTTTTTGTTTCACAAGATTAATATAGCTATCTAGAATATTATTTCTTTCGACATTTTTTTCTATATAAAAATTCAACTCGAAAATGATCCCAATAACAAAATATTTAGGTTTCTTACAAATGATAACATTTTGTCACAAATGCTTTTTTAAAGTCCAGCGAAGACTTCTAGTATTCAAACGTCGTTGATGTTGGAACCACCTCCAGTACCATTTGCAGAAAAACAGTTATTTTATCTGCAAAAAAAACGAAATAGAGTATACCTACAATAAGTACTTATATAGGTCTTTCTTTGATCAGATGAGTGTCCAAAAAATCTAGAGTTACTTTATGTTTTGCCCCCTCCACTATGTCTCCACTGAGAGCTTTTGAGTGATGCATTTCAGTAGGAAACCACTCTTTATTATCCTAGGATTGTCACCAAAGCGAGCATTCACTATAATCTTGGAATTAAAAACTAAGAAACTCTCCCTTTAATTCTAAAATAAAGAGAGGGAGACAGCAGTTGAGGACAAAAAAAGGCCTTCTTTCTACATCCTTATATAGATATTATTGATAAAATGGAAAGGAAAGTTTTTGAACATACCCATGAACGGCAGCGAGTATCCCCACTTCACGAACGGCACGTATACGACTAGTCCGGCGAGTATGAACGCGGCCGCGTACAAGTACTCCCACTGAGGCTTGTCCACTATCGGCGCCACTACCAAGTACGCGGACACCAATAATACCACGTAAGGTATCACTATCGGCACCTGAGTAATATTAATTACTTTTATCTGGCGAAGGTTCTATCACCCGGCGTTTTCGCTAACTCAACTGACAATCTAAAGTCGTAAACATCTATAAAAGTGACCAATTCCAATGTGTCAAAATCGCTAATTCGTAATTTTTTATCAATTTTTCGCGATTTTAAAATGTCAATATCGCCGATCTCCACTGGACTCCATTTTGTATCGATAAACTGTTATTTCGTATTCCGTAAGCATTAGTGACCATAATAGTGAACTTCAATGAGTTATTTCATCTAAACGAAGTAATATATTTAGCAACTGGCTTTTTTGTTATTATTTACGTCGATAAATGCATTAGGTACTATCCCTGCCGTCTGGCAAGCGACAGGGGGCGTGTGGGACTCTCCTACGCGAGTCCACCCCCTGGTTAGCCTCGCGGTGGGTTCCCGAAGGCCTACCCACAATAAACCCATATAGTGTACCCTCCCCTAGGGATGGGATACCGAGTAGCCAGGACGCTCACTCCTATATAGCAACTGGCTAGGGACTGATTTATTAAAAATGAGTGATGGGTTGCCCACAAAGCTCTGTGAACAATTAATTTCGGTTGTCCTCGGCAATTGCCAGGGTTATAGAATAAGGAGGTTGATCTTTACTTTGTAGTTCCGCATAGGATAAGGTATTCATTTTTACCTTGTATGGTCTCGGTGCATGGGGCTTCGTGTATCTCATAACAATTAAAGCGAGCATGGCGCCGCCGTAGAATATCCATGCCGTAAATGAGAAGAAATCAATCAGTGAATCTATCGTTCCGTACAATACCATCGCCACCGCTATCAGCGACTGAAATATAATTATACTCATATATATATTCATTCGAACATATGTTTTTAAAGGTCGGTCAACAAAAATAATTACATGGAATATTAGTCCAGGTGCTGGAGTGAATCTGCGGACGTGAACGTAGGACAAGATATCTAACAGATGACCTTCTCGTGACGCCGCAAAACATAGTCTGAAATAAATATTTTTCATTTTGTATCTGTTATTTTAAACTATATAATTAGTGTTATTAACAAAAAAAAAATGCTTGAAAAATTCATCAGCTCCAGGTACTCTGAGACGGGACTCGAACCCACGACCTTTCGCAACAAGGCTAAGGCATTTTCCAAGCATTTGTTACTTTTGGCTACTACAAAGCATATTTTCATCAATGTTCAGGCAATTCACTCAAACAGCCAAAAGAAATATTTTTACAAATATTTGAAACTTTCGAATAAGTTGGAAATTTGTTCTAATTATGCAAAATTGATAAAATAGAATTATACATGCACAATTGTACAGCAATTATTATGATGGTATCGAAGAGTATATGTTTTCCGTCTGCCACCAAGAGTGTTCTGTCAGCGGATCTGAAAGTGGATGTAGCGACAGCGAGGGAATGTATTCCTATTAGTCAGGGTCCTGTCCATATAAGCAAACTAGGTAGCTGCTTAAGCGCTCTTATTTGTGTGGTGGCATGGCATTACATGGCAAACTTATTTCGCTCAAATTATTTGAACCTTAAAAATGCAGTACCCTAAAAAAATACTTTTGTCCTTTGAACACGAGTCAATGCCCGCGGTATTCAAAAATACAAAAGGTTCCAATACCGCAGTACCTAAGGAGTTACTTTTGCCATTGGCAAAATTACACTCTTTGATCTACATTAGTTTTTTGCGTCGTTTCAGTGTTTTGCCTAGGGCGCCAAGTTCCAGTGCTTTGCCTAGTGCGTCAAGTTTCATTGAGTCGGTCCTGCTATTATTTAACTACCAACCACGAAGAGTGTTCTATTGGCTGAACTGAAGGTGGATGTAGTGACAATGAAGAGATGTATTGCTATTGGTAGTGTTATCATAGTATGAAGGAGTGTATATTACCTGCCAGCCACGAAGAGTGTACCGTTGGCTGATCCGAAAGTGGATATAGTGACAGCGAGGGGCATGAGCCAGGCTAGTGGGCCTAGTAGTCGGTTTCCGAAGGTGACAGCGACAGCCTCGCTATCTGCCATCTCGCTCACTGACATCACCGCCAGGTATGACACGTTCACGAGCGCGTAGCATAACGTCACCAGCGGTATGCCGATTATTATACTCAACGGGAGATTCCTAATACACACGTACGATTTTATTTACTGATACATAGGTAAATAATATGTACTAATATTATGTACGCAACAAAACATTACGATTCCTTCACAAAAAAAGTAGTGTTCATAATCTTAACACAAGAAATAAAAATAAACTTGCCGTTCCAAGCTTCAGACTTCAGAAAACCAGAGGATCATTTCTGGGTTAATGCATTGCTATGTTCAATAAAAATTTTTTTTGGACAATTCAAAAGTGCTTGTAATAGCCTATTTGAATAAAGATATTTTCATTTCATATTATTATATGAAATTTTGTATGTAGTTACTACTTGGTGTGAACGGATGTTGTAAATAATTGATCCAGATACCAATGTTTGTAACAAATTAAGTTTGTTAGATTTAATATGTTACAATATAGGATAGGAACTTAGTTGTGAAACTGATCCTAAGTCTGCAATCTGTAAGTAGTACATATAAAAGAACAAAATAAAACTACAAGGACAATTACTATAGGAAAAACAATTATGGTTGGTGGAACTTGCTTTTATCTAATTGTATCATCTGTAAAAAGGAATTGCATATCTAAATGATATTACTTGGAAACAAAATACATTTTCCTGCATCTATAATTAGTCAAATCATCAAAATTCTGGTGTTTTAAATAAAGTATTAAAAAAGCTGAAAACTCACTTGGATGGATTCTTAATTTCCTCAGTGACATAGTTGAGGTTATTCCAACCGTCGTAAGCCCAAAGGCCCGTGTAGAAAGCAGTGGCTATGTTGCCCAGAGTCGCGGTGCTACTTGCGAAGTTGGGCTCCTGTAAATGTCGCGTATTACCTGCACCATACGGACACACCACCCGTCAGTCTTTACATATTACTTTTATGTGCCGTCGTGATGTTGATGTTACATTTCGATTTGATTTGACGACCTTTAATTAATTAGGTAATTTTTTTTTTCTCGTAAATCTCAAGATGTCCTTTCTGATGATTGATGCCGATTTAATGATTGCCGTATTGATTTTTTTTATTTAATATAGATACCGAAATTTAATTAAAACAGTGCGTCAATATTCCCACTTGATAGGTTTTGGAAGATTATTTAATGTTAGTTCGAGTGAAATAAATCTTAAAACGTTCAGTCCAATAATGCATGATCAGTTAAAGGCAGTTATTCTAAATCAAATTGATATGACGGAAGAGTAAAATGTCTATTTCTCATCTCCAATTCTAGAGCAAATCCGATGGTGGGTATCAAGTGAAAGAATTTGTTGAGTAAAATTATACTATGCACATTTTTAAGTACATCTAAAAACTAATAATTGATTCTGTCCCTTGCACTTGACAAATACGTGCAGTTAAATGTTGTAAAATGAAAATATTTTCAAATTATTGATGATTGTTTGTGTCCCAAAAAATATTACTTTATTTATTTAAAGTTTGTATTGCGAATATTAATGAAAACGTTATCTTTTGCCTTGTTACGTAAATCATGGCAAGAATCGCATACGCACGCGGTTTGCGTTAGCAAGATTTATCAATACATATTTATGTGTTTTCAAAGACGATTTTAGATTATGAACTTTTAAAAATTTAACGGAACATAAATAATATTATATATATATGTCTAAAAAATTTTTGATGTACTTAAAAATTAACCGTGTAGGTATAAGCCATTATTTGTTTTTTTAACTTTATTTTTTTACGCTTCAATAAAAGCTTATAATATGCAAACAAACAAAATCCTATTTTACCAGGTGTTAAAATTGTTGCGCTGTTTAAATATAAGTCACAAAACATTGTCAGACAAAATAACTTATCTAAACTCGAATTGTTCCCTAGATCCTATAATTGGATGTATGCGAATTAGAAAACCTACTTATGCCATGCGATGTAGGTGGTAGACAATGAGAATTTGAGAAAATGAAAGTGAAATATCGTTTTGTTAATTTAAATAACAGTAAAATAATAAAACGACGAGGTCCTGCTTTTATTTGATTCATTACCTAATATGAGTTTATAAGCTCCGCCGCAGACGATAATTGCGATCGCGACTAACTTCGCAGCAGTGAATATGTTTTGCACGTTCGTAGCCAAGTTCACGCTGTAGCAGTTCACTGCCAAGATCATCACTGGAATGGATAATAAATCTTAAAGAATAGACGCTAGTCAATTGAATCAATTTGATAACATCCGACTAAAGGGGATGAAGAGTTATAACAATGTATAATTATAAAGCTAAATATATTACGATACGATTGTTATATAATAAGTATCAACAAAAAATATCCTATAGTAAGAGAAAATTTAAGATTTACTTTTCGTATAGATAGGTACGACTAACTCTTAAATTATCTCCTGTCAGAAATTCTAGCAGAAATAGAGTTTATCAGATGTCAATGCGATAAATAGGCAAAAATTGTAACAACACAGTCATGAAATAATAGTCTGTTACACAAGGATCTAAAATGACCAATAGTTTACTCCCTGGCTGTGATCTATTACTTCACTTTAACTTTAGCGATAGAATAAATAGAAACCGAGTCATAACACGTTGTTAGCGCCGTGTGCTAAACTCTACTTTTCACTTTCATTGCGAAAAAAATACGGTCACCTATTCAATTTGTATTTATTCTTTTTTATGCATTGCGTATGCACGCATTTTATCAAATCGCAGAGATAATTTTGTTTAACTATAAATTTTGTTTTTGAAAATAGAAGTTCCAGTTTCATTTTCAAAAACAACATTTTCTTTTAATTATGAAATAAGTAACGAGTCTTCATTTATAAGTATTTTACTCTTGGATTAAGACTTCTTTTTGCCCATTTGAGTTGGTTATAGGCAAAATTTAAAAAATATACTTTTTCCTGAGACAAAGGTATAATTTCAGTCCCGCTTTAGAACACTTTCAGAAAAATAAGGAAAATATTTTTTTCTGATTCTTTCAAATAAAAGGCATGTTTATTATTAACCATAATACTTAATAATCTTACCAATAGAAATGACCGCGACCAGTTTAACAAGGCTATCAGGCGGCTCGCACTCCGAGACGAATGGCTCCACCGCGTATTTGGCGAAGCTCAAACAGATTATAGCCATTTGTGACGGTTTCAGCACCAATGTCGATACCTGAAATAATTTCGTTAAAAAAACATGGTATAAATCTCTACTATTGCGATATTTGCATCTACTTACATCATTACCAACCTATTAATGTCTCCATTGTGAGGGCTTAGGTCTTCCTTATGGATAGAATCGAATGAATTCGAATAGGGAGAATGGGCCATGACCATTCTTCCTATTCGAATTCTCGAGATAATAAATTTTTGGTCACCCATCCTATGACCGGTCACTTGGAAAGTTATTTAACAACCGTTTATCAGACCGAGCGCGCTTATCACTGTACCATCGAGCTCCTCGACGTACGTACTCGTAGCGCGAAATATGGACTCAGTTTTTCTGATGACTTTCAACTAATGTGGCCTACGGCATTCTTTGAATACCTCTTCAGTATACCTACTTAAATGAAAATAAATCGCTAACATATATCACTAAAACTCGAGAGCTCTCTGGCATTTTTTTAAATATTCTTAATTCCGAAGTTCTTATGTATAGAAAATGGGAAAATTAAGATACAAAATAGTAAAACAATCTTTTTTATTTCTCGTCTTTTGGCCAATTGGAATTTCTAACATTTGTCGTTACGTTTGATTAGATTGTATCAGAAACCAAAAACTTATCAAATTGTGACATAACCTAATATCCTGTACTGTACGATAGAATATAGATGTGCCTCTCAAAATAAATTATTTTTTCTGACGTAGTCATAGTGTAATTATTATAATAACATAATTAAATATGTCAACATTTCTAAAATATAATTATATTCAAAGAATAGTTTGACTCTATAATATGTGGATATAGCTTCAGAATCCGGTTGGTTATAAAAATCGTATTGCAAATTTTAATAACGTGCGTACATGTATGTACATGTAACGACCGCATCATAGATAATACATACCACATGTTCTCGAAGCCTAAAATTAGTGTAGTTTTGTTTTTTTTTATTTAGTTCACATGAGTAACATAATAACAACATACGGACTACGGATCATTGGGTACTTCCATAAATCATGGTCATGCAGAAAACTCTATTATATTGCTGAATGGATGAACAAGGCCAACAAAACATCTAGGAGATACTTATTGAAGTAAATAAAAATCTGAAGACCGACGAGTTTTATTAAACAAGAGAAATCAGGATTGTTTCAACTCACCTCGAGTAGAAACAATCCTGATTTCTCTTAAAAAAAAGCAAGTATGGCAAAAAGCATCATTTCATATTAAATATTTAAATTTCGAGAAATCAGAATTGTTCATCTCACTTCTGTTTTAAAACCCTTCCGTGTTGATTGCAACGAACTGATATCAGTTGAAAAGCTATTCAACCAGGCCTTGGAGTGAATAGAGGCAGCAGTATGTATTGTCACAATATTCTGTAACTTACCCATGAAAATAGAAACGCAGGCGGCCCTCCGAACGCGTCCATGAAGTAAGCGTATTCAGCACCTGACGACGTGTTCATTGTACCTAACTCTGCGTACGCGAGCGCTCCTGTGAGTACCAACACACAATCAATTTTATTATAATTTATTTTTTTTAAATAGCTCAGCAGCGCTTTTCGCTCAATATTCTGAAATATGTAGATATTATAGAATATTGACATTACGCGATAGAGATTAGATGCTGTGAAAAGTTTAAATAGATTTTTAACACAGCTAAGTTAATTTATTTAAATAATTCTAAATCTAAATCTTAATCTTTTCTGCAACTTTTTTGCAATAACTAATTATTTTTACATTTAGGTGATCTTGAATTCTTAGAAAAAGGAGACAAGCTTTTCCTATTCCCTTTTAATTTCATTAAGACAAAAACATAACATTAGAATCCAAAGTCATGTTTCTTTTCTATTTTTTAAATATGTAATTAACTTATGAAAAATCATATCTATGGCCCATACCATTTAATCATAATTAAAAACTAACTCTAAATAAATTACACACGAATGTATACTTATGTTCCGAAATGTCCCTGAAATAAATTTGCACGTGTAAAATCGCGAGTGTACAGACGTCTAGCATCTGGCATAGACAGACTACAGATTCATTAATGCTAAATGGAATGCATTTCTTAACAAAGATTAACACTATTTAAATTTAGACAATTGTTTGTAATAAATACATGATTGATTGTTATAATTAATCCATTGTAGAGGTAGTGTTTATTCTCCTTGCACGTAATAGTTCCTGTGCTAAGAGAACGCTCAAATTCGTTATGCATAGGCAAAATATAAGACGATTCGATTAGTCACAGATACACTTTGAAATCAAATATTTAGGTAGATATCTTTTAGTGTAATAGTGTGGTTTGATACAGATATGTTTGTCACAATTACGAGCGCAATAATAATAATATTCCTGACGAAGTAGCTGTCAGCACATCGCGCCAACTGACTTGACGTGTGTATTGTTTAAAAGCGTAGTCTCGTTCACTGTTACGTAACCAACAGGTTATTTTGAAATGAATTTAGGCAAAATAGTAAAAAGGATTTATGTATTTATTGACTTCTCTTACCTAGCAATGAGAGCAGGCCGCATGCCATCCAAATGATGAAGCTTATGCCCACTGAGCCAGTGCGCTCCAGCAGCCCAGAGGGCGAGACGAATATTCCTGAGCCTGCACATAAAAAATAAAAACATACTTTTACTAACATACTTTTGTCACTACTCGTACGAATTAACATAACATTAGCAGATAAAACTCCTGACTCCTTTAGCTTGTAACTCTAGCCATAGGATACGACATCTGAGCGATGTTATAGAGCTATTTCTTTTTATTTTACTTATACAAACACTTTAATAACAACAAACGAATGATAAAAAAAATATAAATTTGACAGAAGCGTTTCCAACTTAGTCATTTATTCACCGAAATACATGTCAAAATAATAAAATGAAACGAAATGTCGTCATTATAAGATGTCGTATGCTATGGCTATAGAGGTGGTGGTTGCGCCCCTGACGGCCTATTCTATATCTCCAAAAACGAAATTTCGTCAATTTACGAAATGCTAATCCGGCTCAAAAGAAATGTCAAATTTTGATCAAGTATAATGCAACGAGGGTAGGACCTGTCACTGTCTGATGGATAGATAATCTTCATGGATATGATTTTACAAAACTTTGACCTAAAAATTTACTAACGCGTCTAGTAATGTGATATATCTTTAAAAAATTGCTTAATTTTTACTTATTTCATGTCAGGCAAAAATTGCGGGGCTGATAATAATGTTTAAATACCCGAATGCGATTCGGATCCTACTCGTAAAATGTCGGTCACCCCCACTGTGTTCTGTGGTTACCCCACTACCCCAATACGAATCGGACTCAATGACGATTTGCTACGTTTCGTTTCATTAATATGAAAAATTATGCTTTCGTCATATGGTAAAAAGTATACATTAACAATTATATTTAGATTTATTTCGATATTTACGAGTCAAACTATAGAAAGCTTTGATTTTAAATGCATTAAATTTTAAAGTAGCTTCACAATTATCTTGAGTTTAGACAGCTGACATTACCTCAAAATATTATTTACAAATTACGAATTTCCCTGGCCTTTAATAAAAAAATGCTAAGATATTATTCTATTTTAAGCAAAAACTAATTAAAATAATCACTAATGGTGGGTAGACGCGACCTTTAAAAAACATGTGAATTTCCGAATTTTCGTTTGAGTAAAAATAGAATAGGATCTCAAGTGTCATGTTGAATCGCAGGAGCACGACACAAAAGTGCAAACAATTAGTTTATTTCATTAGAGAATATTTTCACTCATTCCTACGGTTGATGTAATGTATGGTTTCAGTTTGATGACATCCATATTTTTGATACAGAACCATAAAAATATAACGTTTAAACCGTTTAGAGTTTATAAACTTGCTCTAACTAGCTAACTTAAATGCTGGAGCATACAGTTCACTATCAAAGTAATTTCGCGTCAAATCGCTAATTCGTAAGAAATTAAAAATAATTAAAGTTTGCTATGAAATTTAAATACAAGTTAGTACCAAAGATATTTAAGCAATTTTTGTATAAGGAAACTATTTTGAAAGGTTTTTTTATTTACACCAATATTATAAAAGCTACATTTTATAATTAAGTTTATTTCTAGGAATACTAATTTTCGGAAATACTGAAAACTACGAGAAACTACATATAAGTCGTGGGAAAACAGCTAGCTTAGTAATAGATGTTACCAATCATGGTGCCAACGATTAGAGCCACCCCACTGAAGAGTCCCACCCGTCTCTTGAGGTGAACAGGGTCGTCCGGAGCTGCGTCCGACCCCTCCAACTGGAACAATTAATTATTATTTAATAATGTGTATACTTATTGTAGGGGAGCCCACGATGTTAAATCGGGATTTACTAGAGCGTCATAGAGACCTATTGGGTTGCGAAGCTTAGACGATATAAAGAAAAAATGTCATGTAAGCGGGTATAGATTTTCAAAAATTTAAAATAAACTGTTGCATGGACATACTCGAGCGCATCTGATGTTAATACTGTTCATGTTTTACGTATTTTAAAAAATGTACGTATGTATAAAAATGTATCAAATTGTTTTCATGATAGGGGTGTTCGTAAGTAAGGGTTGAAAATGAAGAAAACAATTTTTTTTACGAGAATGTCAGATTTTCTAAGGGGATGTTAAGTGAACCTAAAAAAAGCTCTTATACAATAATCTGACGATTCGTATGCGACGCAATCTCGCGGCTATTATTAGATTATGCAAAAATAATAGTCAATTTGAAATACTTAAGCGCGTCAGATTAATATATATGTGTAATCTTTATGCCCTAGGCGTGCTGTTTCATAATCTGACGATTATCTCGAGGGTTCTCCTAATCCGACAATAATTTTAATTATTTTTTGAAATAATCGAATTGAGTTAATTTAAAAGTGTATGTTTCTTAAGTACCTTTAATAGTTGTAGTCATAAGAAAATGATATTAAAACAAAAAAAAAGTTTTTTTAATTCGTAACAGAGTGGGGTCTGCTTGAGAGAGTAATAGTAGCGAAAGAGTGAGAGAGGAATAGAAACGCGGAAAGGAGAATATAGGCATCACGTAACTGCACGCATTAAACTTTATCGATGAATTTATGTGACTTCAGCTTCTGTAAATCGTCAGATTTCGTAATGAACCCTTAAAAAGAACGAATTTCAAAATGACGTCTTTTTTACAACTTTTGTAGCCCTTTCCCTCCTTTGTTACTCTCAAATTGTCATATTAGTTATATACACGTTTTAGCATGTAACTAATCCACCCTACGTCAATCTGATGCGCTCGAGAAATGCAGATCATCATTTTTTTTTACTAATCTGATCCTTTACCCTAGGCGGGCGACTGTATATACATATAAGGCTCGTATTTGGTGGGAGTACTTAACAGGGTACAAGGTATCCGTTAGGAGTACTATTATTCTATGGGTAGCCTGTATATTAATTTACCGCGCTAAAGTAATTCCCAAAAACCCCTCTTGGGCTTTCCTACTAATAGGATCGCCAACTATTTGATTACATTTGATACATTTTGCATTGTAGAAAAAAGGATAGAAAAAATCAACCATCTTAAGTTCACCCAAAGTATTCTACTGAATCGGAAAGGGTAATGAGAGAATCGGAATGAGAGAGAGATATAACTAAAAACGTGCTAATTTTGAACTATCAAAAAAGCATCTATATTAAATGTTACGATTTTTCGTAATTTATATTGCCCCAGGGCGCCAACAGATGAGGTAGGTTGATACTGAGTGATGTATGTGCTCTTAGTATGTCAACGTACTAAATAAAATATCAAGTTTTATAAAGGAAAGAACAATTTTGTCACGAACGCTTTGACTATTAAATTTATAGACCATGTTAGATACACAGGGATATTCTCCCTATTCGATCATCCATAGGGCAAGCCTGAGCCCCAGCAGTGTGTGAATTTAATAAGCTAATGACAATCATATGCAGGTAGATGTTCACTGGCAATTTTTTTATTAAAATTAGCTTAAAACTCGAGTAAGCAGACTAGTATGCCACGACACCCTCGGACAACGAGGATGAAGCCACGGGTTACAGCTAGTTTTACTATATACGAGTATACGAGCCAGGCCATATTATCATAAACCAGGACTTCGTGAGGTGGATTAGTTAAATATACTGAACAACTTGTACTACGGAAACAACACTAAATTCACTAAAAAATAATCAGCTCTTTCACAGAAATTTTGATATACCTACAAATCCAACACTATGTACATGAAGTCCTGGCATATAATAATATTAGATTCTAATAAAATATTTTTAGAAAGATGTCACATAAGAAATATTTTGAAATGATACAAAGTTATGGGTAAGAAGATATAAGAATTACTATGCGTCTGTCAGTCAATCTGTATTGCACGGTTCAATAAGTTCAAAATGAAAATTAAAAACACAATATTTCGTAGGTATTTGATTCTGTTTTAATAAAAGGGACTTGCGAATACGTAGTTTTATAAGACCTTCATAAAAGATTCCCCTCAAAGATACTTATAATAGCGAACGAGGTACTCCAATCGTCTTTACAAACCTATATTAAAGATATCTTCAGATCTTAACAAGCTACTCGGAGCGGAGCGCGTCCGATGACAAATAAGGATTTTGCTTATAAGACTCGGTTTTCAATTATAATAAAAAAGATTATGAAGTTATTATATCTATAATGAAAATAAACTTTTTCATTTACCACGCCCGACAAAACCATGCTCTTTTAATTATATTAACAAGTTCAATGTTTATTGATAAACCTGATTCAGCATGATATAAACAAAATTGACTGTTGTTTTAGATAATCGTAAGTGTTCGAACAAAAATCTGAATCGCTCTAAATAACTAATTGGATTTTAAGTTAGGTACTTTTTTAGTTAAGGAACAAATTATTCAAGCTCGAAATTTAAAAACTTGTTCTTTTTTTTTCAGGAATCGTCATTACACTATTTATTCATTTGAGATTATGGAATTATCAATATTTTTGATCACGTAGTAAGTAGGTACTTTTTGCGATAGTCGACAAATATTTGATTTATATTATCTTACCATAGCAAAGTTGCGTAGTATTCTTGTTCAAATATAAGCGGTTTTTGTGTTGCTGTTGTAGCGCTTCCTAGTACTTTAATTAGCGGCTTAGTATCCCTACCTCTTTTCTGTGTTCTATGTAGCCACCTTTTTTTTAATGATTCACACTAATGAGGAGGAAGAGAGCTCAGGATCCAACCCAACAATATATAATAGTGCCCCGGCCAAGGAGAAAATCACGGCAATATATGAAAGCAGTCAAAATAAATAATAATAAACGAAAATTATACCTTGTCTCCTGGGTTGGCGTTGCCTTCGGCAAGCGGTCCCGCCGTGCCATCCTCCGTGTCGAAGCCGGCGGAGCACCCGCGCCACACCAATCCGCCTTCCCGTGTGCCCCCTAAACAATACAATCAAAATAAAAGGAAATTCTATCTTTCATAAACTTAATCAAATTGTTGTTCGTTGTTCTCAGATCTATCTATTCTATTCTATAATGCTTAAACTAGCGCTGCGATCACAAAATAATTACCTATAATATAATAACCATTTGTCCTGATAAACTTATACAAAAATGTAGTTAAAACTACAGTCTTTATGTTTCATTAATAATGATGACAGTAACAAAATTACACATTATCTATTTGTCAAACAGAAGACAAACTGTAATTAATTAAAGCAACGTGAAAAAGCAAAAAAAAAACTAGATTATTAATAAATTTAGTTTCTTTTCTATGAGAAGTTGCCAATTTTTCTTCCTTTATATGTGTTTAGATAATGCTAAATGTATTGTGACAAATAAAACAACTGTTTTTACAGTGCATTACACGCTTAAAAAAAATTAAAAACATCCGAACTTTCATTTGTAACGCTAGTAAAATTGCGACCACTTACACGCGCTAGGCATTTATAAATATAGAAAGAATGGGTGTGCCGAGACGAAAATACTAAAAAGTAAAAATCTAATACATTGCGCGACGTTCCAATGATAATAAATTTATTAGTAAAGCCCGATGTCTCGAAAACAAACTTATTGTGAACGTTTGCCAAAACGCAGTTATTCGTAATAGTGCGATTTTCTATGTGGTTCGTCTACTTCGAAGTAGTTACGAAATGTATCGACAAATGAAAATTAGAAAAAGTGTTATAAATAAATACATTGAACTTGATAGTGTGTGTGCGCACGTGACATGTCTCATGTTTCTGAATGTGCCTACATATTTATGCGTACCAGCTAAAAACTATTTTTGTTAGCCCATATTTGCAGAAAGATAATTCTCTTATTGATTAATATTTGTAGTCATCTGCTCTTGACATTAAAAATCTACTTAGGTATTATAAGAATTCACTTATAAGTAAAAATAATTCTAGGTCATTCAAAATAGCTACTTAATCGATTCAAGGCCATTCGGACTACAGAATAACGATTGGCAAATAACTACCTTGGTAACTATAATAATAAAGAACACCTGCGTGAAAGGTACATAATAAGAAAAAAATCGAAAAAGCTGTTGACAAAATTTGAAAATTATATATATCTCCAGATTCCTTCCATTTATGCACAACATCAAAAATTACATTTTTGTAGACAAACCTCATTTTATTTAGAATTCATTTTTATAATTTCTTAATTTTCACGCATATCACTCGTTCAATAAAACTCCAAAGCGGTTTAATCTTTATTGATAACTTCTTTCTGCGTTAAGAATTATTCTTATTATCTTTGAATCATAAACCGCGATAATAGTATTGCTATTCTGTTAAAAATACAAATTCAAAGTCGGTAACCTTTATTACCTATTGAAGTAGATATTATTTGATTGAAACCTTAATGTTGTGACGACGCTGTTTTTAAAAAAAACTTTAATTAAATGTGTTTGTGGCCCCTTAAAAAAGTTTGAGTATGACTTAGTCTTGAATTAATATAACCATTTTGAAATACTCAAGCGCGTCAGATTAAGATATATATGGTTCATCTTTATGCCCCAGACGTGATATCTCATAATCTGACGATTATCTGAAGGGATTTACTTAAACTGACACTAAAAATTTTTTTTTTTTAATTTTTTCAAATCATTGAGCTTAATTAAATAGAAAAGCACCGGAGTTAGCATGCAAATAAAAAAGTGTATGTTTTTTTTATGTAAAATACTTATATTTATAAGAAAATGATTATATGAAAATTTAATTTTTACAGTATTTTTTATTAATTATCATCTTCATCGCTAGAATCATCTTCCTCTTCTTCTCTTAGTAAATATGTAAAAAGTTTAATTCACAAAATTTACATTAAAATAACAAAATAAGCAAAAACGTTGGAAATACGATGTAAACAATATCACGCCACGAACGAGTCTGTGTCATCAGCTGTCATGGCGTCATGGCAACCGAAACCAGAGTGGGGACGGAGTGAGAGAGTAATAGATAGAAAAAGAGGGGTAACTTTCATGTCTGATTTTCGCCAATTCTTCCCAGCCAGGACTCCCAAATTTAATAGTTTATGTTAGTTGGTGGTAAATGAATAAGTTAACAACAATTTTAATGAAAAATGCTTAAAAAATCCACATGCTTCCTTTTTTAAGCATTTTTAAAGCTAATGCGCCAATAGCAAACCGATTAGGTAATATTTTAAACCAAATTTTGACGTTGTGTCCCTCATAAATTATATAGTTATCATGGCAATAAATTTTCTCGGAGTAACTCGGTGGTGTAGTAAGTAGCTCGGTGGCGTACTGGATAAGCGCCGCGGCCCGCGATCGTAGTCGTTAAGCAACTTTCGCAAGGGTCGGTCACGGGATGGATGACCAAAAATTATTATCTTGAGCTACTCCGTGCTTCGGAAGGCACGTTAAGCCGTTGGTCCCGGCTGCATTTGCAGTGGTTAATACTCTCCAATCCGTATTGTCCAGCGTGGAGGGTCATGGCCCATCATCCAAGCATCGAGCTTCTGCAGTGGGGACGTAAAAGGGCTGGTGATGATGATGATGATTTATTTCATCTATCGTTTATGACATCTTCTATATGAAAAAAGTATTATGCGTAATTTACTGCTGTACATTGTGTATGTTTTAGTTTTCCTCGAGTGGTTTGAAAAAATACGACTACGATATCAACTACCACCACTATAGAATAACGAAAAGTTCATCGTGTACTACTGGTTCCTGGTGTGGAACTGGCGCACCCACATATGAAGTTTAAATAAGTTCTATAAAACATTATTACCACAAATAATTCCTTCAGGCATAATGAAAAAATCTATTTATTTTATCATGCTTCGTATAGTTAACTTAGAAATAAAATATATTTTTATATGATTTGAAAAATAAAAGAGCTAAGCTTTCTTACCAACATGTTCTGATTTACTTCAAAGTCAATATTTTCACCTTTTAACGCATCTAAACAAATATTTGTTTATACGTATAATCTTTTGCTTTAAATATACTTTTATTCAATTTATTTTATCCTAATTTTCTCAGCAGGAATTTAGGATGAAGTTGTTTTATAAATCTCATGTTTTTTAACAAATGTTTTCATTTGAAACTCATATTTTGCAATATTCGGACGTCCGTCATATTAGCTATTTATATTAGAACGTACGTCATATAAAATTAAGCGGAAAGATTTTATAAACCTACTAACATACACTGCAAGTTAAATTAAATATTTACTCAAACTGAAAATCTTAATTCAAGTCCATTTTATTTTATGGATAACTAGCTGATTTCCCGCGACTCACAAATTATAACTTCTGTCAACCGCGTATGATATATGAAGAATTAAAAATCGCTTCATTTGTTTCAAAGTCTATTCGATACAAGCAAACAATCAATTTTCCTCTTTATAATATTAGTATAGATAAAATGTTTTTCATAATAAAATACAGTGATGTGCCATGTTAGAGAGTAGTTATGGTCTGTTGCCAGTACAATAAAGAATTAAAATATTTTTGTATCTGTGTAGATGCCAAGTTTATAATCATCTAAGCATATGTACATTTATGTAGCTTGGCCTTGATACTTTGGAACAACTTTAAATATCTACTTTATTACCAAATGATTGAGAACGAATTATTGGCGTCTGATTATGACCGTTACGATAATTTAGATTTGTTATCAACAACTCAGGTGGCATAAAATTTTTTGGAAGTCTTCCCAATATTTATGTTTTTAGAGAAGTGTTTTTGTTAAACGACTCACTCTATAATCATTTATTACGTTAACATTATGACTTTATTGTTTTTTTTTCTCTGAGCAACATTCTACTAATATTATAAATGCGAAAGTTTCTAAATATGTATGTATGTTTTTTACTCTTTCACACAAACATTACTTAACGAGTTTTATTGAAATTTGCTTGACGATTGTACTTGTACGATTTTAAGCTTGAATTAACATTTAGGCTACTTTTTATCCCACTAAACGGCTCCCTAGGGTTTGTATATTTTAATTAGTAATGTTATCCAATATTAATTTTATAGATAGTTTTAATATAAATCGAGTATCGTTTTAATAGCATCGAAGATAAAAAAGAAGAAATAAAACTGGTAAGATATAACCGATAGTTATTTAATAAGCTGACTGTCAGACGAAGTCTCATATCAGAATTATCTTGGAAAGCAAATTACTGATTATTTTAAGCAGACTCCAGAAATAATTAATTGGTCGCAGTATTCAATGTTGCTACAACATGCATTTGTTAGTTACCTCCTACTTATTAAGTTCCAGTTACTGAGCTGATGTAATGCACTGAATCCTACCTACTAAAGTGAAAATGACCGACCGATGTCACGTATGCCATCCACTGAATGCGTCGTCAGTAAGAACATTTACCTGATATGTATTTGTTAATGTAACATTTTTCCTTATATGACCAGACTCGTAAATATTTTTTATGAGGAAATTACGTTAACCACAATATTTTGATAGCACTATTTGTATATTATATTATTTTTAAATCGTAATCAGGTAAAAAATACATTCTGTTTTTGGTTGTGAGAAAAACCAAATAAAGCCACTCAATTCCTATAGTTGTTTCTAGTTGCTATCTTTTAATGTTATTTCTAACGTAATCCATCTGCAAATATCTTTAATTTTGACATTTATCGGAGAGGATTTTTAAGCACGAAGGCGCAATTTTTCCCAATATTATTTATTTACAAGTATCAATCTCGGTCTCGACAGACACGTTCTAATAAAATACGGTTTTATGGCAAGTTTTATTATTTTCTTTATTTCTAGATTTTACACGAGGGAAAAATCGCTTATTTATATAACTTTTTACATACGTCAAATGGTAGAATGTAAATATTTCATGTCAATTTGGCCCAATGACGCACGTTATAGCAACGTCCAACTGTCCGCAACGGTATGTCATATGACGTGAAGAACTTTTGTAAAGTTGACTATTAGCGTTTTATTATTAGATTTTATTGGAAAGTAAAATTAGATTTATTCTAAATAAAAGTAATACCTATGAAACGGTAGTGGTCGCTAAAACTTACGGTTACTCCCTATTTTATTTCTATAGTCAGTGCACCTAGAACGTCAACTTAAATAATAATTCCTATTTGTAGCATTCACTATCCGTTATAGCTGCATATTTCTAGAAAATATGTTAAAAAAGGTTTTATAAATAAATATCAAAGCTTTTATTAATAATAGGTACGTTTTTTAAGAATGGCATGTAAACCAATTAAGCTATTTGGAATCCGAAAGAAGGATGGTTTATGTTCAAGGAGTACGTATATTTTTTATGAAAGTAGATATGTCAATCGATTTCATCTTCAATTGTGAACCAATTTCTCCGCGACTTCGCATGCTTTAATTAATTATAGAAATTGTCCAACGTGTATTATATGTATAACTTCTCCTAGATGAAAGACTTTTATAAATCGGTCCAATAGTTTCAGAGCCTATCCAATGCTAACAAACAAGCAATCAAATCATTCCTCTTTATGAGTATAAAATTATTGGAAAGAATTATGTCGAGTTAAAACGACTAAAATACAAAATCTTCTTTTCTAAGGCTTTCACTATGTATAATATTTTTATTTTAGTATAAGTATAAACTTGTCTATCTATACTTATATTATAAAGAGGAAAGATTTGATTGTTTATTTGCAAAAAAAGCTCCGTAACTACTGGAACGATTTTAAAAATTCTTTCACCTAAGGGAAGCTACATCATATGCGGTAAACATTGGCTATATTTTATCCCGAAGAACAGCAAATAAAGGAATGAAAATGGAAGTGGAAGTTTGTATAGGGAATCAAAATATTGTGATAGTAACAATTGTTTACTATCCAATTTGTCATTGTAATTATATCCATGTCATCGTGTCATGATATGAATCCATATCCAAATAAACAGTTCCCTAGACGAAGAAAATAACTGAATTCAAACTTTAAAAAAGTGATAAATAAAACATATCTCAAAAGGGACTTATTCAAGAAAACGCTATTGAAGTCAGGAGCTTATCATTTAATTAATAAACCTACAGAATACCTTCGCCCCACTTCAAAAACATTTTTAAATAAGCAAGCTTGAATAAATCTCCTTGAGATAAGTACTATTACAAATTTTTTAAAGTTCATTCTTAAAAAAACATATTTTTTTTGTTATAAAAGATGTCAGAAGCGAACCATCTGAGAAATCAGTAAAGCACTTTTTTACAAGATATTTAAACTGAACTCAGTATTTAAACTTACGATTCGAACGATATCCGTAATTCATTTAGTAGACATAAATTAAAATTTTTATAAAAAAAAAATAGGAAACGGGGAGATTCAGAAAACTGCCAAGAAATTTACCCAATCAGATGAATTAAAATAAGAACACTGTCGGAATGAGGAAGATACGGAAGCAATTAAAATAAGCAATTTATTTGAGGATGCGCTTATTGATTTGGATACTCGATTGATTTTATATTTGAAAATATAAAAAATGCTCATGTCATTTTCACGGAAGTAAACACGAAATAATTTATATATATATATTGCATACATATGTCAGAGAAGCGTCACAATTAAATCAGCTGGCAAATAACTTGGCCATAGAGATCGCAAATCATATTTATCGCTTTAATATCATGCTGATTATCGCCATAATGTAACGTTATCAGCATATCCAACCAAGTTTGCAATCGCATCGCTGCCCCTGAGGGTTCGCTTTTCAGACGAAAAAAAAAAGATGCCAAGTGAGATACTAACATGCTATTTGTAAATTGAGCATTGAAAGTTATCTCAAACCGTACTTAAACCATTTTAAACGTTAGTTAAACAGGTTTTCGGTTCTGATTTGTTTTTAATGATCAGTTGTTTGCAGTTTTATAACTAGGACTTTTGTCATGTGAAACGTAAACAACTTGGGTTATAGAGAATAAATTAGTTAAGATTTTGTACTTTTCTCAATTCTGAAACCGGCCGTAACTCGTGCAGCAGGGAATTTTGGTTGCAATTATGATATGTAATTTAAAAATCATAGATTTCGAATAGGTTTTATTGTATAGGTAATATATATGTAAAGAACTTTTCCTTAATTTTTATCTGAAATCAGGCCATTGTAAAAATAATGTGGAAGTATATTTTGATACATATTAGCACTACAGATTTTTTTCCATTAGGTATTTCAAAATTGTAAGACCAGTAGTTTCGGTGATAAGAATAGAGAATAAGAATTCTTCTTTCATTTTAAAGTACTCCAAAAAGAGTCATTGTTAAATTATAAATAAAAACTACAATTTCATGAAATATGAACTTCGGCACAAGATTACGATATCAAAAATTGAGAACGGATCGATATATATGATTTTCTTTTTTAAAATACCTTTTTGTAGAAATCTGGAAGAAGAGAGGTTTCGAGCGTGAGATAATGAAGAAATTACATCAATAATTTTATTTTTCAATACAACAGTTTGTTTTCGTAGAACGTTTCGTAAGAACTAGTTTTATTGAAGTTTAACACATATATACTCTTTAATTCGGATAATGTTATATAAACATTATCCGAATTAACTTAGTAAGGAAGTGAAAGTCATAAAGCACACAGCCGACCGTGTAAACAAATACTGAATGATCATTATTACCCTTGGCAGTCTCAAATCGGGTTTACGGTTGCGGTAGGTATTTTAAAGACTTTGTTTGCTTTAACCAGAACATAACATAATACGTACCTATAACAAATGAATCTATCATTGTTCTTCAAGTCACCGTTTTAAATATACTATTGTGTTTTAAAATAAATATGTAATATACACATTTTCAAACCGCACAAACAAGTTGCAGTGGTCTTGCAAATTTTATTAGACTGAATTCGGAATCAGCGATGTTATCTCTTTTATCTACAATTTTTCCCGATAGATATATCAAGTTTATTCAATCAAGAATGACTCAAAATAAAGATGCAACTTAAAAAAAGGTTAAGTAAGACACTAAATAAAATTTACTGTAAAAAGTAAGTACACGGCTGAACGTCTGGTTAGCACAATATGTCCAATGTCTCCAGATGCTTTTCAGTTCTACCCAAAAATCAAATAAATAATATTATATATTTTCTTAATGAAAAAGAAAGTAGATTTGTCAGATTTACATAACCTGACCTACTGTTGACTGTACAATTCAAGCCTAATTAAACGGTCCATAAATAAAAATACATAAGCTCGAAAAACATTATACCTACCTTATTTTTATACATTAAGTATAACTCTTTCTGTTACAGTCGTTTAATTAGTAAAATGACTATTATAAAAATACTAAAATGAATTAAAACGTGAATTTATAATTTTATTTACTTATAAAGGAAGAAATTGAATTCCTATACAAACCGGACTTGTTATAATTAGATAATGCAACCTTTAAACATAAATGGGTTTTCCTTGTCTGCTGTAAATTGATTTAAAAATTTCGCAGGAACTTTTTGGTTAGTTAATTATATTATAACTAGCTTTCCGCCGGCGGCTTCACCCGCGTAGTTTTGTATTATACCCTTTTTATGAAAAAAAAACCGCATCAAAATCCGTTGCGTAGTTTTAAAGATTTAAGCATACATACGGATATAGAGACAGAGACAGAGAAAGCGACTTTGTTTTATACTATGTAGTGAAAATCAAAAAAATATCTATGAATACTTGAGTGTTTTAAAGTTGGCATTGATTGAATGTCGATTAATTTTCATTAAATCGAGTTTATAAAATTTATAATATACTAAAAATACCTATACTTAAAGATGAAAATATATACTTTGATAACTCACATAACAAACAAAGTAAAAAAGGTAAGGTTTCGATTATTTATTTAATAAAAGTAAGTGAAGTTTCTTTTAAAAGTACTAAAAATATATAAGAAATTCTGATAAATTCTTACCTATACAATTTGCTTCGGTTATTACGAATAGATAATTCTTAAACCGAGCATGAACAACTATCTTTTAAGTTACAATCTTGTGTTACAATGTTACAATGGATGTTTAATTTCAAAGCCATATTCAAATCACAAAAGAAGCTGTAGCAATGTAATAGAATTTTGATAACATAGAAGAAGGACTACAATAACACAATGTAGACTACGGTCTACCGCAAGTTCGTTCGTATTGTAACGAAAACTTCAATAGTGTCGAAAAAAATATAATTTTCCTTATAAAACCTGGGAAATTGGTTCTACTTTTTGTATAACAACAAAAAAATTAATTCCCAAAGATAATTATGGTCCTATTTTCTTGTTATTCCACAAAAATGTATGAATTTCAAATATAAGAGCCAATTTCATCTTCATTCTTCTGACATAGTTGCGCCATTAGAACGATATATTTTTATGTAGGCATAAAAAACATAATCATTTCCACAAGAAAAGAAATGTTAAATAGCTATCACTAAAAGCTATTATCCACCGGACTTATTTAAGAATCGTTTTATTATTGCTTTATATCTATACTAATATTATTAGAGGAAAGATTGGAATTTGATTTCTTTGCTTGCATTAAATAAACTCCGAAACTACTGAACCGATTTTAAAAATTTTTCCACCTACGGGGTGGCTACACAATACGCGGGTGACATGGGTTACACACTGACGAAGTCGGGGCAAACAGCTAGTTTAAAAAAAAATACCTTCGTCTGGGAACACGAGAACTGGTGTAATTGAGCCATTCTGTAGTTTTTCCGTGTTTTGTGACGCACGCACCGAGCCTTGCAGCAGCGCGGCGAGTTGTCGCATCGCATCGCACATGCGCGGGCGTCGCGGCGCCGGCGCCGACCTCGTCACACTCGCCCTACCCGACCAACCTCACCGAGCCAACACTATCGCAGTTTTAATCCTTACTACGTCACACATCTACTTAACACCTTAACTAACGAATTTATAATTGATATGGAATTTTTGACACAACCTTAATCACGATCACAGAATTATGCTATATAATTAAATATAAATGTAAAAAAGTTGCCCGAAAAGTAGATTGTGTTTGATGAAATGTTTGCGAATAAATGAAGCGCCAAAATTTTCCGTTGGCTATGTGAATAGGGAGCGGCGGCACAGAGCGGACTGTCTATTCCGGGCGCGAGCGAGCACGTGGGCGCCGCCCGCCCTACCGCCGCTCTACCAACCGATCAATGGCCACGAGATCTGATACCTGCATGTCTATATCCTTATCAAAACTTCTTGTAAACAAAACGGTAATATACGTTTGTCAACATTGACACTTCTTTGAAAAACCAATTATAAAATAAACGAATGCGAAACCGACGTACGTCAGCTTAACGACCAATAGATAATATAAGGTTAGGATCGACTTAACCTTCCAAAATACAATGTCTCTAAAAATAGACTGTAATAGAGATACCGAAAGTAAACTAAATCTATTACCGCAAAAAGTTATTAAAATAAGGCGGAAAGTGTATAAATCAACGTCACGATACATGACGCAATGCATGAAGATTTCGGGCGTATTTCTATTCATTGTAGAAGTTTATGATACCACAATATAGGATCTTTATTGATCTAAATTCTTGATATATACATATTTAAAAATGGCTGTTTTGAAATAGTTTTAAAACTCACGCAAAATAACGCCTAATTAAAGTTAAGATATATTTTTAAATCTCTTTTTTATCAAAGTTACAAATAATTACAGTAATATAAATTCGGTATACTTCACAGATTTTAACAATAATTTTACCCGTGATATTGAACTTTGGTAAGCGTGACCTATAACCTATACCTAAGAAGAGGGTAGTGACCCGCAACCTACCCGAAAAGCGGAAAATAGGTTTGTTGGGTGCCGACATGAAATCTTCACATCACAAGTATGTATAGTTGTATTGGTATTTGGATATAGGTATAAGTCCTGTACCCATGTCAGAGTGACGCAATCTAACAGTAAATTACTGTGAAGGATACGTAACGTAACTGGATTTCAATTTGTTTAACAAAGGGGGCATCTCGTGAAGGGTACAGAAAAAAAAGGTTCAAGTTTCTTATTTGAATTTTGTTTTAGTACATTAATAGGTGTATGTGATATGCTCTAAACATGTGTACGATATTTAATAATTTTAGCCGTCGCAAGTTTGGTGTGGAGACTGAAGATCGTGTAAGGTTATTCAGTCAAAAATTGGTTATGAAAAATAAATTAACATGGAGCTTAAAATATTATGTAAAGATCATTTAGGAGCTAAATTTTAAAAGGTTTTATTTAGTTTCACCTGTCCGATGATTATTTTCTGTAATCTATAGTTTTGATGACAATGCATTTATATAAAATCGGTATTATTATTTATCTAAAATGGCCGCCGTCACAAAATGGTGACGTATATATTTCAGGACGACCCACCCAGTATGAGTATCAAATGAAAATGTTTGTTGAATAGAATACATCAAATAAAATCTTGATAAAAAAAATAAAAAAAATATTTTATTGGATAAGAAAGTCCGTCAATACATCGTGTAATCTAATAATACAACATATTTGATATACATATTAGAGAGAACGAGAATCTAATAAAATTTTAAAAACTTGAGCATGGTAATAAATTCTTAATTTGTCATACTTCTGAGAACAATTGAGTATAAAAACTTCACTAATTGATATTCTATTCTTCTATCGTCTTTTCGCTTCTTTTTGCTTATCAAAACCCGAATGTATTGAATGTGTTTTATTTTTTAAATCGACAACTACCCAACCGATGTTTTCTTTAGAAATAAAAAAAAAACAAAATTTCCATTTTCATAATAAATAAAATGTAATAATAAATAAAAATAAAAATTTTAAAGATTCCAAATATTCTTCAATATTCTAAATCGTGATTCACATCAATATTACAACGGTTTCGCATTATCGACGTTTAGTTTTAAAATAGCTGGGCTACTTTTAAACTGAGAACGTAACATATTTGAGTGATGTGTGTTTTACAAAAATCACATTCAACTTTACGTTAACCATTGTTGTACGTATACACAGAATGATACGTATCATTTTGGCACTCTCCATTGCAATCACAAATACCGCTCAAGTCTCAAATGCAACATTATTTTTGTTGTTGGATTGTTACTCCTTCGATACACTATGAGCCTTAACGCGATGTGATAAAATTTGAGCGCTAACGGAAACATCGCATGTTATTTATTTGTTTAATATATGGAACGTGAAAATATCACTGCATCCATTGCATTGAAAATGTTTTTGAAAATGCACTAGTTAGATAACCTTCTAGCTTTTACGTAAGGTTTAGTTATGACGTTATGACCATTCCCAAACAACTTAATAATAATATGACACGAATAATAACATACTCTATGTTGTAATTGGTTGTAATAGTATTAGAGAAACATTGCATTAGAATGGAAACTATAATCCACAGACAACCTAATGAGGAAGTATTTAAAAAATAAAAATTAGTTCTTGAAATCAAACTAGATGTCACTAGCGATTTTCGTATAATTGTCTATGATATTCATCCAAATTTTCTTTGTGTAATAAAGAAGAAATATATCAAATGAAATCAAGTTGCCTGAAAATATTCGAAGTGCGTAAAGAAGAATATCACACATCAATTATAATCAGTTTATTGCAAAAATATGCCACGTACCGAGCAAAATTAAAGTTGAATAAAAAGCACTCCTAAGCACCAAAAAAGGACGTAATAAAGTTGTTTTTCACGAGACGTTAGAACAAATGGGTTGAATAGTGCATCATTATAAATAAAAATCTTCCTTAACACACTGATGTTTAATTACTTTCACCTGCCAAGTAAGTGCTAACGATTTATTACGTAGATAAAAGTGCTAACACAGAAGAATAAACAATCCCTAAGTGCTCCCTCAAATGAACGCGTTTAATATCTCTGCTTCGCATAAAAAAGCTTACCTGTGTAAACTTGAAGTCTAAATTTTCCTACTATGCTTGCTTATTTAAATTGTGTCACCGAAAACCAATCAGTAAATCGATTCTGAAATCTATTGAATTGCAAAATAATAGCTTATTTCAAATTCACCTACTTATTGGTGAAAACGAAATGTATTGATGTATGTTTTTGCAGTTTGTCGATTCATTTATTTGAATTTTTAACAAAATGTACAATATTTTAATTGTTACTTTTTTCTCGATTATTCTTTCTCATAAAATAAGAAGCACAGAAATAATCTGTTTTTGTTAACTGCTGAAATTATTCTTGAAATGTAAAAAATGTTAAATTAAATTTTACTTTGTCGTTCTCTCACGTTGTAACGGCAGATTTATTACTATATTCTTCAGTAATTTTCTATACTAATATTATGACGAAAGTTTTGATTGTTTGTTTGCGTTGAATAGGCCCCGATAGTACTGAACGATTTTAAAAATTCTTTCATACATGGGAAGCTAATCATGAAACAGCTAGTAGTATTTCATTAATTTTGCTTTCACAGTATTGAGATATTATAATTAATAATTTTACCTATATTTTACTTCGAAAATATTTTTTCGTATTTGTCTTTTAGGTAAATGTTATGTGTCAAATACTCAGATGAAGTATTCAATATATTTTTTAGATACTTCATCTAAGCTGTGTATCTTTTAATTTATCTATTTTCTACATTGACCCAACCGGGAATCAAACCCGTTAGAGCGGCGTGCGAACCACTCGGCTACGGAGATCGAAAATTAATTAGCTCGATTATTAATAACATCCAGAATATTTTTTATCTCTTTGTTTGAATCAATACACCTAGCAGTACTTATAAACAACTAGCAGAACAAAACTTTTATGTAGAACAACAACGAACAAAGTAAGTAAATAGTATAAAGTTAGGGAAATAGGCAGAGATGAAGGTTAACAACCTACGCACCGAGACAATGTGACGCCCAAAGGCGTCCTCTATGCCCTTCAAATGGCCTACCTTTACTACAACTCAGAGGTTTCCTCTCGCAACCTTAGTAATACAAATCAAAATGAAAATGGAAACGATCCGTGTATCAAAAATACACTATAATTGATTTTTATTATTAAATATAGTGTCTTTGATTATATGTAAAGAAAAAGCATAATAATGGACCATATTGACGATATATACAGTGAAGTTACACTGTTCCACTCTTTGATACTTCCAGCTATCAAGTTTTGCCGCATCGAGTGTTTTTTGCTGCTTTTTACTGCGATAGTGTTTTATGGGCTTATCTATAGATATTTAAAAGGAGATGTTCTGACATACTGACTGACAGACAATGCACAGACCGTTGGTCGTTCATTTTTCAGATACATTCCTCTTATTTTATCAATAATGGTTGAAAAGTTTTGTATGAAACTTCTTAGTTTTGGACATATATAGATGAAAATTGGTTTTTGACTAGTTTAAGACCCTGGGAAGGTGATAAGTTACTTATGTTTTATTCCGAAAACATGCACTTTGAGGGATGAAAATGGAAGCGGAAGCTTTATGGGGAATGAAAATGTTACCATTGTATGTTTTTACAATATATTATCCTACTAATATTATAAATGTGAAAGTTCCTTGGTTTGGATGTTTGTCCGTCAATCACGACGAAACTACTGAACGGATTTTGATGAAATTTGGTATACAGATAGGGTATTTGCTGACTTAGATAATAGGATTAGATTAGATATAATCTTTTTATCCCACTTATCATGTACTTATCACCTAGGGACCACGCGGGCGAAGCCGCTGGCAAAAGCTAGTAATCTATAAAATATTAATGTGCAAGTCATTTTATTTCAGAAAGAATAATTTTGTTTGTGTATTTTGAGTTATACTACGTATATTCTTAGGTTAAGTTTAAAAATTATATAATATACTAGATGGTTTAAAGTGTACTCAAACTGCGCTATCGTTTGGTTCAAGAAATTTAGCATAAATTAAATTTTGTATTAAGTTCAGATTAGTATGTTTCTTTCCATCTGTATTTCAAATTGGGTAAATATAGCTTTTTGTTGTAGTGTGGTGTCTTCGAAGTTAAACATCAAGATAATTTCATTTTAATATCACGGGTACTTATTAATAATTTAATAGAATAAAAAAAAAACTCTGTTGTTTGCCTGTGATCGTCGCTAAGCAA